AGTGTCGAGTGTGGAGTGTGGAGTGTAGAGTGCCAAGTGTAGAGTGTGAAGTGTAGAGTGTGGAGTGTGGAACGTGCTTGTGCAAGCTTTGTAGTACACAGTAGTAGTGGTAAGTGCTTTGTGTAAGCTTTGTAGTACACAGTAGTAGTGGGAATGCTTTTTGCAAGCTGTGTAGTACAAAGTAGTACTGGGAATGAGTTTGCGCAAGCTTTGTAGTACACAGTAGTACTGGGCAGTGCTTTGTGGAAGCTTTTTAGTACTAAGTAGTACTGGGAAGTGTTTTGTGCAAGCTTTGTAGTACAACGTAGTACTGGGAACGACTTTGTGCAAGCTTTGTAGTACACAGTAGTACTGGGAACGACTTTGTGCAAGCTGTGTAGTACACAGCAGTACTGGGAAGTAGTTTGTGTGTAACCTTTGTGTAAAGTAAGGAGTGTGGAGTGTAAAGTGTGGAGTGGGGAGTGAAGAGGGTGTAAAGTCTAAAGTCTAGAGTGTGAAGTGTGGAGTGTAGAGTGTAAAGTGTAGAGTGTGGAGTTTGGAGTGTAAAGTGTAGCGTGTGGAGTGTGGGGTGTAAAGTGTGGAGTGCAAAGTGTGGAGTGTAAAGTGTGGAGTGTGGAGTGAGGAGTGTGGTGTGTGGAGTGTGGAGTGAGGAGTGTGGTCTGTGTAGAGTGTAGAGTGTGGTGGGGTGTGGAGGGTGAAGTGTGGAGTGGGGAGTGTGGAGTGTAGTGTATGGAGTGAGGAGTGTGGAGTGTAAAGTGTGGTGTGTGGAGTGTAAAGTGTAAAGTGTGGAGTGTGGAGTGTGGAGTGTGGAGTGTAGTGTATGGAGTGAGGAGTGAGGAGTGAGGAGTGAGGAGTGTAAAGTGTGGAGTGTGGAGTGTGAGGTGGGTAAAGTGTGGAGTGTAGAGTGTGGAGTGTAGAGTGTAAAGTGTTGAGTGTGGAGTGTAAAGTGTGTAGTGTAAAGTGCAGGGTGAGGTGTGTGAAGTGGAAAGCGTGAAGTGTAACGTGTAAAGTGTGGAGTTTAGAGTGTAAAATGTAACGTGTAGAGCGTGGAGTGTGGAGTGTAAAGTGTGGAGTGTGGGGTGTCAAGTGTGGAGTGAGGAGTGTCAAGTGCAAAGTTTAAAGTGTGAAGTGTAACGTGCTGAGTGTGGAGTGAGAAGTGTAAAGTCTAAAGTGTGGAGTGTGGAGTCTAAAGTGTAAAGTCTGGAGTGTGGAGTGGAAAGTGTGGAGTGTGGAGTGTGAAGTGTAGAGTGTGGAGTGTAAAGTGTGGAGTGTGGAGTGTAAACTGTGGAGTGAGGCGTGTTGTGTGAGTAGAGTGTAGAGTGTGGTGGAGTGTGGAGTGTTGTGGAGTGTGGAGTGTGGAGTGTAAAGTGTGGAGTGTGCAGTGGGTAAAGTGTGGAGTGTGCAGTGTAGAGTGTGGAGTGTGGAGTGTAAAGTGTAGAGTGTGGAGTGTGGAGTGGAAAGTGTGGAGTGGAAAGTGTGGAGTGTAAAGTGTGGAGTGTAAAGTGTGGAGCGTGGAGTGTAAAGTGTAGAGTGTGGAGTGGAAAGTGTGGACTGTGGAGTGTGGAGCGTACAGTGTGTAAAGTGTGGAGTGTGGCAGGTGGAGGCGATCTCGTTGTGCTGGTGATGTCGTTGTGCTGGTGGTGTTGTTGTGCTGGTGATTTAGTTATAGTGGTGATTTCTTTGTGCTAGTGATTTCGTTTGTGCTGGTGTTTGTTGTGCTGGTGATATAGTGGGAATGCTTTGTGCAAGCTTTGTAGTACACAGTAGTACTGGGAATGAGTTTGCGCAAGCTTTGTAGTACACAGTAGTACTGGACCGTGTTTGTGCAAGCTTTTTAGTACAAAGTAGTACTGGGACGTGCTTTGTGCAAGCTTTGTAGTACAACGTAGTACTGGGAACAACTTTGTGCAAGCTTTGTAGTACATAGTACTGGGAACGACTTTGTGCAAGCTTTGTAGTACACAGTAGTGCTGGGAAGTAGTTTGTGCAAACTTTGTGTAAAGTAAGGAGTGTGGAGTGTAACGTGTGGAGTGGGGAGTGTTGAGTGTGTAGAGTGTGGAGTGTGGAGTGTAAAGTGTAGAGTGTAAAGTGTGGAGTGTGGAGTGTAAAGTGTAGAGTCTAGAGTGTGAAGTGGAAAGTGTAGAGTGTGGAGTGTGGAGTGTAAAGTGGGGAGTGTAAAGTAAGGAGTGTGGTGTAAAGTGTGGCGTGTGGAGTGTAAAGTGTGTAGTGTAAAGTGTGGAGTGTGGAGTGTGGAGTGAGGAGTGTGGTGTGTAAAGTGTGGAGTGTGGTGGGGTGTGGAGTGTGGAGTGTGGAGTGTGGAGTGTAGTGTGTGGAGTCTGGAGTGAGGAGTGAGGAGTGAGGAGTGTGGAGTGTAAAGTGTGGAGTGTGGAGTGTGCAGTGGGTAAAGTGTGGAGTGTGGAGTGTAAAGTGTGGAGTGAGGAGTGTAAAGTATAGAGTGTGGAGTGTGGAGTGTAGAGTGTAGAGTGTGGAGTGTGGAGTGGAAAGTGTGGAGTGGAAAGTGTGGAGTGTAAAGTGTGGAGTCTAAAGTGTAAAGTGTGGAGTGTGGAGTGTGGTGCGGAAAGTGTCGAGTGTGGAGTGTGGACTGTAGAGTGTCAAGTGTAGAGTGTGGAGTGTAAAGTGTGGAGCGTGGAGTGTAAAGTGTGGAGTGTGGAGTGAGGAGTGTGGTGTGTGTAGAGCGTAGAGTGTGGTGGAGTGTGGGGTGTGGAGTGTAGTGTAGGGAGTGTGGAGTGAGGAGTGTAAAGTGTGGAGTGTGCAGTGGGTCAAGTGTGAAGTGTAAAGTGTAGAGTGTGGAGTGTGGAGTGGAAAGTGTGCAGTGGGTAAAGTGTGAGGTGTAAAGTGTAAAGTGTGGAGTGTGGAGTGTGGAAAGTGTAGAGTGTAAAGTGTGGAGTGTGGAGTGTAAAGTGTAGAGTCTAGAGTGTGAAGTGGAAAGTGTAGAGTGTGGAGTGTAAAGTGTAGATTGTAAAATGTAGAGTGTGGAGCGTGGAGTGTAAAGTGTAGAGTGTAGAGTGTGGAGTGTGCAGTGGGTAAAGTGTGGGCAGGTGGTGGCGATGTTGTTGTACTGGTGATGTTGTTGTGCTGGTGATTTTGTTGTGCTAGTCATTTCGTTCGTGCTGGTGATTTTGTTGCGATGGTGCTGTTCGCTGGTGATTTCGTTGTGCTGGTGCTTTCGTTGCGCTGGTGATGTCGTTGTGCTGGTGATTTCGTTGTACTGGTGATTTCTTTGTGCTGTTGATTTTGTTGCGCTAGTGATGTTCGCTGGTGCGTTCGTTGTGCTGGTGATTTCGTTGCGCTGGTGAATGTTGTTGTGCTTGTGATTTTGTTGTGCTGGTGATTTCGTTGTGATTTCATTGCGCTGGTGATGTTGTTGTGCTGGTGGTGATTTCGTTGTGCTGATGGTGATGTTGTTGTGCTGGTTAGTTGTCTCTGTGTGAACTGCTGATCAGGTGCCTTCGCTGAGACGATGCGCGCGCACGATGCATGAAAAAAAAGGTTCGTTTGCCTATTGTAGAGGTTTTCACTCGTAGTCCAAGAACGTGAATACATTCGGGTTCGTGGCTTCCATCTTGTTTCTTCTGGAGTTATCTCATCTGATTTTGGGATGATTTGAACTACAATATTCTTCTGAGTTTAAGATGCTTAGTGTTGTCACAGGTTCATGGCTTTGTTCGAACACATAGTCTTGTGATATTAGAGCAAATTTTCATGATCCAAGTGTATCTAATCCCATACCTAATACTCAACACCCCCATTCTATGTTCCCAATTGCGTGGAAATTCTCTACCAAGCCATAGTTTCGTGTGGGTGTTTTATATTGGGTAGGGGTATGTTGAGCTTCCATGAGTCCCTCATCAGGGGCTGGTGCACCGCAACGCGGTCCTGGCAGAAGTGCTTCGTGAGGTCAGGAAAAAGAAGGCCCACAGGGTGCCGGTGTCAGATGATGACCTGACTTAGCCATCAAACATGGTGAAACATGGTGTCTTCATGTCTTCCTCATTCTTCGACATGAGTTGTGGTGAAATCTTTCATTTTCATATCTTTTTTGAAGCCCCTAGCCACTGTAACAAAAGGTGCCGGAGGACCAGGATGCTGCATACCAAAAAGCTGCAAAAGTGCCGACCAAAAGGCTGCAAAGGGCGCCCGGACAGGTTTTAAAGCCAGGCTAACGCCAGTTTCTGAACTTAGGAAAAAACCTTTCTGAAGGCGCCCGGCAGATGGCGCTTAAAGCCAGGCTAGTGCCTAACAGCGCTTCCTGAACGGCAGATGGCCAAAGTACTGCGCTGGGCAGCCAGCAAACTGAACCCAGGAAAAAAGCTCTCTGAAGGCGCCCGGCAGATGGCCAAAGTACGGCGCCGCGCAGCCGGAAGCATACCAAAAAGTTGCAAAGGTGCCGACCAAAAGGCGGTGGCAAAGGTGCCGACCAAAAGGCTGCAAAGGGCGCCGGGACACGTTTAGAGGCAGGCTAGTGCCTAACGTCGCTTTCTGAACCAAGAAAAACCTCTCTGAAGGCGCCCGGCAGATGGCCAAAGTACGGCGCTGGGCGGCCGGAAAATTGCAAAAGGCGCAGAAGGACCAGGATGCTGCGTACGAGAAAGCTGCACAGGTGCCGACCAAAAGGTTGCAAACGGCGCCGGGACTCGTTTAAAGGCAAGCTACTGCCTAACGTTGCTTTCTGATCCCAGCAGAAAACATCTCGGAAGGTGCCCGGCAGATGGTCAAAGTACGGCGCTGGGCGGCCGGCAAGCTGCAAAAGGCGGAGGACCGGGAGGCAGCTTACCAAAAAAGGCGTCTTTCGTGCTGCTCCTGGCACGCGCTCCCCTTGCCGTCGGCTGGGGTCAGCGGATATTTATATATAGTATCAATGTATCTATCTATATATATATATAAATAAATAACGGGTTTTATAGATAGATATGATATTATTCATGGGCATCCGGATTTTCCTTGGCGGCGCACAATCACCGCACAATCACCCTACCGAGTTGGCCGCGGCTGCCGGACGGATATGTACCTCCGACCGCGGAGGACGTCTTCAAGGGCGACAGGATTCGGTGTCAATGATTGTATTTCTTGAAACACACATTCTTGTATTTTCTCTCATGAATGTTATCTTGGTATGTTTTTCGCCTTTTCGCCTCATTAAAATAGTTGGCATTCCTGTCTGCATTTCTTGTGGGGGATATTTAGATAGTAAAGCGTATATGAAAACAAATCTACCTTTTGGTAGCCTACCAGAAATGTACAATGGCCATGTTTAAAAAGGCAAATTCTTATTTTATGGACAAATGGGCCACTTTCCATGACTGACTATGTTGGTTTACCACAGGGTAAATTATAAAATGGGGCAGAAAGGGATCAGTAACCTACTTGGTTACAGGGGGATTAATGACAACCCGTTGTAGGAGGGACCTTATAAAGTCAGCCAGTGTGATGGGGTTATACCAATAAGATCCAAAAAGTAAAAGGCAACATCTCGTAGAATTTTCTTGCTGCTTCAAGCACGCCTTAATTTCACCAGATGACATCTTCTCATCCTTCTTCAATCTGATCTTGTAGGAGCCTGGTCTTGCCACCGGTTGCCAAATTGGCAAACTACGAGAAACACATGTCGATGATTTGTGAGGTCTACGTACATGGGTTTGTTAAAAAAATGGAACACCCCCCAAATCTGCTGATTAATCATCATGATTCTAAATTTGCCAACTTGGTGACACGCAAACCATTTTCAGACAAACCTAAATACGATTCTGACTTGGTTGAATCCAAATTTTTCATACTTACATCATGTTAAATCACAACTTTTCACTGTTCTTCACTACTTTTGATTGTTGAATGAGCCCATTTTTTCACCATATTCTCCAGATTTGCTCCAGAAGTCGCTAGGAGATTCAACGCAAAAAGGATGAGCGCCTCAACAAGGCGCGCTCCGCGTGTTCCGTCGTAGCGCGCAGTGACTCCTTGACGGTTCCGTTGTGGATCCGCTGCAATCCCCAGTGAATGGGATAAATGACGAAACACTGCCATTTAGGGGCCCTTTGCCAAAGTTGTGTTTGGCTGATGAAAACAAATAAAAGGACCGGATAACCCCACAAGGCAACTTCTTCCAATAATGAGCACCAAATTTTGTAGCGGGGACGGGGAAGGAAAGACAAAGGAGGTGGTGGAGGACCGAGAAGTAAAACAAAGTTGCGTGTGACAAAGTTGTATGTGAAAGATGGTGTGTGACACAGACAGATGGTGTGTGTGACAAAGTTGTTTGTGAAAGATGGTGTGTGTGTGTGTAAGTTGTGGGTGAGAGAGAGAGAGAAAGCGTGTGACAAAGTGGTGTGAGAAAGATGGTGTGGCGAAAGATGGTGCGTGACAAAGTTGGGTGTGAAAGATGGTGTGTTGAAAGATGGTGTGTGACATTGTGACAAGGTTGTGTGTGAAAGATGGTGTGTCAAAGATGGTGGGTGACAAAGTGGTGTGTGAAAGATGGTGTGTCAAAGAGGGTGTGTGAAAGATGGTGTGTGACAAAGTGGTGTGTGAAAGATGGTGTGTCAAAAGATGGTGGGTGACAAAGTTGTGTGTGAAAGATGGCGTGTCAAAGATGGTGGGTGACAAAGTGGTGTGTGAAAGATGGTGTGTGACAAAGTTGTGTGTGAAAGATGGTGTGTGACAAAGTGGTGTGTCAATGATGGTGGGTGACAAACTGGCGTGTGAAAGATGGTGTGTGAAAGATGGTGTGTCAAAGATGGTGGGTGACAAAGTGGTGTGTGAAAGATGGTGTGTCAAAGATGGTGTGTGACAAAGTTGTGTGTGTGTGTCAAAGATGGTGTGTCAAAGATGGTGGGTGACAAAGTGGTGTGTGAAAGATGGTGTGTCAAAGATGGTGTCTGACAAAGTTGGGTGTGAAAATGGTGTGTGAAAGATGGTGCGCCAAAGATGGTGTGTGACAAAGATGGTGTGTGAAAGATGGTCTGTGAAAGATGGTGTGTGACAAAGTTGTGTGTGAAAGATGGTGTGTCAAAGATGGTGTGTGTCAAAGAAGGTTTGTCAAAGATGGTGTGTGAAAGATGGTGTGTGACAAAGTGGTGTGTGAAAGATGGTGTGTCAAAGATGGTGTGTCAAAAGTGGTGTGTGAAGGATGGTGTGTCAAAGAAGGTGTGTCAAAGATGGTGTGTGACAAAGATGGTGTGTGAGAGATGGTGTGTCAAAGATGGTGGGTGACAATGTGGTGTGTAAAAGATGGTGTGTCAAAGATGGTGGGTGACAATGTGGTGTGTAAAAGATGGTGTGTCAAAGATGGTGGGTGACAATGTGGTGTGTAAAAGATGATGTGTCAAAGATGGTGGGTGACAAAGTGGTGTTTGAAAGATGGTGTGTGACAAATTTTTGTGTGAAAGATGTGTGTCAAAGCGCGCCGAAGCGCGCCACCAGAGCCAGCCCAGTGCCATATGTCCCACGCCTGCCACGCAAAACGAAGGCAGATGTCGCCGCCACGCCTGCCACGTGAAACCAAGGTGGATGGCACCAAGTGCCACACCTGCCACGCAAAGTACCGCGGCTATGTGAAAGATGATGTGTAACAAAGTTGTGTGTGTCAGAGATGTTGTGTGAAAGACAAAGATGTGTATGACAAAGATGGGAGTGAAAGATGATGTGTAATAAAGTTGTGTGTGTGTGGAACGTCTGCACAGACGTAAAACTTCGCTTGTGGTTCATCATATAATATATTACATTACATTATATGAAAGCAGGGGGCCACCGGGGTCCCGGGGGGGTCTGTGGCCAACGAAGACACCCCCCGGGACCCGTGAAAACGTACCTGCTTGCAGTGGCCCTGGACGGCAACCCTTTAAGTGGGGGCCGTGGCTGGGCACTGCAGTGGCAGTCCCTGGGTGCCGTCGTGCGCAGCTGGGATGTCACCTTGAACGCATTGCGGACAGTCCATGGGTGCCAGCGTGCACAGCTTGGATGTCCAACCTCACGGTTACCATATATATATATATATATGTCTATGTAACTAATCTAGTTGCAGGTTGGGGGACTCAGTTCCCGACGGATCTCTTACAAGATCCACTCTTGTCTAGTGTGTGACAAAGATGGTGTGTGAAAGATGTGTGTGAAAGATGGTGTGTGACAAAGATGTGTGTGAAAGATGGTGTGTGACAAAGTTGTGTGTGTCAAAGATGGTGTGTGACAAAGATGTGTGTGAAAGATGGTGTGTGACAGAGATGTGTGTGAAAGATGGTGTGCGACAAAGTTGTGTGTGACAAAGATGGTGTGTGACAAAGATGTGTGTGAAAGATGGTGTGTGTCAAAGGGTTGTTGTGAATCACGGATGGCAGAGCGAACTCACTGATGGACCGAAAGGTGGTTGGAGCTGTGTTTTTTGGAATGGTTGCAATCGTTGCAGTGGTCACCTCACCACAACTGTTGGATGTAGTGTGGTGTAGCGCAGTTGTACTTGTACTGTAGTGTATTTGTAGTTGTAGTGTAGTGGAGTTGTAGTTGTAAGTTGTTGTTCTAATATGATGTAATTAGTGTAGTGTAGTTGCAGTTGAAGTTGCAGTTGTAGTTGTGGTGTGGTGTAATTAGCGTAGTATATTGTAGTGTATTGTAGTGTACTGTGGTGTTGTGTACTGTAGTGTGGTATAGTGTTGTGTAGCCTAGTGTAGTGTCGTGTAAAGTAGTGTAGTTGTAGTTGTAGTGTATTTTAAGTAGCGTAGTGTAGCCTAGTGCATTGTAGTGGTAGTTGTAATTGTACTTGCAGTTGCAGCTGTAGATGTAGTGTAATGTAATGCAGTTAGTGTAGTGTAGTGTTCTGTAGTAGTGTTGTGTAATGTAGTGTAGTAGTTGTAGTTGGATGTATATTTGTAGTTGTAGTGTGCTGCAGTGTAATTAGCGTAGTGCAGTGTAATAATGTAGTAGTAGTAGTAGTAGTAGTAGCAGTAGTAGTAGTTGGTGTTGTTGTTGTTGTAGTTGTAGTTGTCTGTCTATCTACCTAATCTATCTATCTATCTCTCTATCTACCTATCTGTCTATCTATCTATCTGTCTATCTATCGATCTATCTGTCTATCTACCTATCTATCTGTCTATCTATCTATCTATCCATCCATTTATCTATCTATCTAATCTAATCTAACCTAACCTAACCTAATCCAATCTAATCTAATCTATCTATCTATCTGTCTATCTGCAAGCTTGAAAACGCAGCTATTTTGCGAGACTTCCTCAATTTTGAATTTGACAACGTCAAAAAGGAAACAATTCTCCGAGACTTCCGTCAAAAATGGAAAGTTGAGTGCAGAGCTGACGGCCTCGTACCAATGCGTTTTGCGATTTTTCCAGTCCACCTGTTGAAAGTACTGCGCCTGCCACGAAAAAGTGATGCCAGGTCATACGAAGTGCTGCACCTGTCACGCAAAATCATCTTAGCAAACCGCAAGATCTGATGCTCCAAAATGCAACCCCTCGCAGGAAATCACCCCCCTCACCTCCTAACAGCTCCGATGAAGATGTCTCTTGTATTGCGCCTGCCACGGAAAAATGCATCTTTGTAGATCCTCTTGAAATGTCCCACGCCTCCCATCGTTTTTGGAAATGCTACAAAGCCCTCACGTTTTGCTCATTTTTCACAAGGTGCACACTCCCGAGCGCTTGCCACGCAAAACGACACTTCAACGTCCAAAAATGGCGCGAACATGTGTTGTTTTTATAACATTTTGACTTCGAAATGTGCTTCGCGCCACAACGGCGTGCACTTTTTTCGACATCTCAACTTCCAAAAGTGGTCCGAAAGTGGTGTGTTTTGTAGATTTTGACTTCGAAATGTGCTTTGCGCCACAACGGCGTGCACTTTTTCGACATCGCAACTTCCAAAAGTGGTCCGAACCTGGTGTGCTTTGTCCATTTTGGCTTCGGGGTGTGCTTCGCGCCACAACGGCGTGCACTTTTTGGACATCTCGGCTTCCGGAGGTGGTCCGAACCTGGTGTGTTTTGTACATTTGGACTTGGAAATGTGCTTCGCGCCACAACGGCGTGCAACTTTTAATCTCTCATCTGGCCAGATGGCTCTGCACCCGCCGCTTTAGCGAGCACACAGTGTTTTGCGACGTTCCTACCTTTTCGTGCACTTGGATTTTCTTTGTTCTGAGACTTCATCTTTTTGATCTCCTTTCTTCTTCTCTTCTCTTCTCTGGCTCTTCCCACCTGTGCTTTTCCATCTGTCCATATTGTCGGAAGTTTGACTTCTAAACTTCCTTCGACAGTTCTCTCTTCAGTAAAGCATTATTCTTCCAAAGACCTGATTCAATCAGTTCAACTCAATCCGCCTCTTACAAGTGTGAAACACTCCACAGCATGGCGTTGTACCTGGTGTCGTTCGTGATTTCCAGCGTAGCGGATTTTGGATAACTGACCGGAGGTCCTGAGTGGTTTCCTATTTTCTTCATGATTTGGATTGCACATTTTTTTTACATCACTAAGAACACCATTAGTGGGACCCGAGGAATACAATTAAATGTGTATATATATATATATACATACACACGCACATATTCCGTTGAATGATCCGGAGTCAATGTGGCGACCTGAAAGAAAAAGTCAGGCCAATTTTTTTGGTGGTTTCAATTTTTTTGGTGGTTTAATCATTAAAGAACCCTGGGCTATTCCTGACACGGTTACTCCTAAAAACTGCTATCCTTTCCAAAAAAATCGAAAAATATCAACCGTTTAAAAAAGTACAAAAAATCAATCCAACAATTCAAAGGTAATCTGAAAACTTCAAGAAAAATAACCAAAATCAAATCCGAAAAATCAAAAACGCAATCTAAAAGAACATCGACAGGAGAAAAATCAAACAAATCCAAAGAATTCAAAAATATATCCAAAGACAACAACAAACAACGGGTCTAGAAACGCATTTAAAACTTATCAACATTTCATTAAGTAATTCTTTGGCACAACCAAACAATTATTGAGTATTTATTTGGAATGGATGAAATGTAGTTATTTGGGATGAAACGGAATTATTTGGAACGACATTGAATAAAGTGAATGAAAAGGAATGTTTTAGGAGTGTCCCTACAAGGAATGTCCCTTTCCATAGGAAAAACTTCATTCTCTTCTGTCCACATTGTTTGTTGTGTTTCACCGTTCCTTGCCATCACAATCATTTCTTGCCGTGTTGCTTCAATTTTTTCTGCGGAAAGCATGTTTAATAGCGTTACCCATGTGCCAAAGCAGCCATTGTGAGAAAGCGTTCCAACGACAAAAAATTCTTTCACATGGTTCAGTACACTCAGTTGGACCATTGCTGGATCGTTTCCTGGGGCCTCAATAAGGTTTTTCAGACTGTTTTGTTAACTTCTGGAGTTATCTCATCTGATTTTTGGATGATGTGCGCATACAATATTCTTCCGATTTTAAGATATGCTTAGTCTTCTCAAAGGCTCATGGAATTGGTAGAACACATAGTTTGTCGTCAAATCGGATCACATTGCTATGGTCTAAACGTATCTGTGTTGAATTTCCGTGAAACTGCCCATCTGCAGGACCTCGCGGAAATAACCAGGATCCTGGCTGAGGCCATTGAGGAGGTTCAGCAGAAGAAGGCCGAAATTGGGTCGTTTCTTCAGGTTGTGCCCAGTGATGTGAACGTTGGTTTATAAACCATAGTAAGTATAGTTATAACTATACCATAAACCATAGTTATAAACCATAGTTATGTTTGTTGGTTTATAAACCATAGTAAGTATAGATACGTATATCTAGCAAAAACCATTGTGAAATTGAAGTTATGTTCACCAACTTAGTTGATTAAGGTGGGCACCACCTTGTTTGTCTTTGATGATTATAAGATTATCAATCAAAATAAATGGTGACCAAGCATATCACAGATTAGGGACATGTTTTCAAACACTAGCCATCAAACATGTTGAAGCATGGTGATTTAATTTTGAACAATACGGATTTATGAATAATTCTGGTATTTGAGTGTGTCTGAAAACAGTGGATTAAACCCTCAGCTGTAACCATGTCAATAGGGAAAATGACAATACAGCATCAAATTTAGGATTATCCTATTTTCAGGCATATTCATTTGCATCCTTTCGGACTTGATTTTGTGTCCGGCCATCCGCAGTGGGCTGAAAGCAGGCCGAAAAGCAGGAGGAAAAGCAACCGTTCAAGTTCCGACCGCCAAACCCTCAGTCTTTCCTGACATGACGAGCCGCGAAGATCAGATTTGACACATGACCTGTTAATGGTTGTTGGCAGATGGCACGCAGATGACAGTCCATGACGGTCCAGGCGAGTAGGATCTAGAGCTGCGACATTATTTTTAGCCTTCCAGGGACTTTTCACGAACCCATGACAGAACAGATTTTCAAAGTCCCGGCGCCGCACATTTATTGAGTCCAAACAATAAAAACTTACATAGAATATCTCTTGAATCTGCTAATCGGACACTGTGCCTTGTCAATGTGCTATGTCAATTGACTTCCAAAAAAGGTTGACATTCCAAGAGCTGGCCGTCGCGGAAACTGTTCTTCCTAAGGTCGGTCGCTTCGTGGCTGCATCTGAGACCCCATCAGGTGCCAGTGGAAGCGGCGTGTCGCGGAGAAGTTCATGACCGACACGTCATTCTTTCCGGATGAGCCAGCTGTTTGCAGCATGTATTTTTCTGACATTTGTCTGGGGCATGCCTGTTTTCGAGACAGATTGTTTCCGGGACAGAAACTCCGAGTTATTGATGATTTCTCAATAGCTTGACTCACACCAATAATAGAGAAGAGCAGAAGAGATTACCGAGAAAAGAATAGAAGAGATTACAAAGAGAAGAGCAGAGAAGAGAAACAAAAACAAAAACAGAAATGCGCGTTTTGGCTTTCCTTCTAGTGTGCCTTGCCCTGCCCCCTCTGGTCTGGGTTGCTGCCTTGCCTTGCAAAAACCCAGATCTCGTACAAATCTCGTAAAGACTTGATTTTTAAGGGTCTCTCAAGATTTCAATCTGCATGAGTTGAATGAAATTTGTGGGGTAACCTGCCGTTGATGCAAGCCCCTTGAAAATGCGGAGGTTGCAGTACCTCTCCAGCGCGTTGAAGTTGAAGCGGAGGACGAGAAGGCGGGGACAGACTTACTGTAGATTTTCTCTTAAACCCCTCCAAAGATATTTGATAAGGCTATTTGAGTCGGCAATGACAGCGGCTTCAGAAACATATATATATACATATATATTACAATATACGTACAATCATATCTATACATGTATATGTATATAGATATATATATGTATATATATATATGTGTATATATACATATATATATATATATGTATATATATATGTATATATGTATATATGTACATATGTATATATGTATATATGTATATATGTATATATGTATATATATATATATGTATATGCATATAATATTTATGTGTGTGTATATATATATATATGTATATATATATTGTATATATATTTATGTCTCATATATATATATGAGACATACTATATATATATATGTGTATATATATATATATATTTGTATACATATATACATATATGCATATATATATATATGTGTATATAAAGATACATTTATATACATACACATATATATCTATACATACATACATACATACATATATATATATACGTACATATATATATACACATGTATATATGTGTCAATGTGTCTTTATATAGATGATGTTCTGGAAGTTCCCATTGCCATGTGTGCTTGCTGAAAGGTATTATTATCATATATTAGCCAGAATCCAGCTATTGCAAACTATTATAAAAAACATGACCTTTGTATACCTTTGTTCTGATTAGCATCGAAGATGAGACGCCATGCTATTGAACTTGTAAGGCCGCGCCAACCCTCTTGCAAGCGGTCGGGCCCTTGGAACGGCAAGTTGATTGGCCCACCAGGAATCAACTTTTCATTACCCCCCGAAATCTAACATGGGATCACATGGAATGTGTAAGTCAGAACACTGGGACCCTGCAGGTTTCCTATTGGACATACTGAACCATGTTCTTGACATATTTATCATAGTTCAGGATATTTCATATTTCATCACAATTTCCATAGCTTTCGTCTCATACAACAGCCGTTGAATTTCACTCCATCCATTTCCAACCTTGCCCCCGGCTGAAACCGTGGTAGGACCCCCCCAATTCTTTGCTGAAGAAAGCGGCGGCCGTGGAGAAAACCAATCCGGTAGCTGAGCGGTGAACTGGGTGCGGAGAGCAGTTGGTGATCTCACAAAATGAAAAGCGACTACCCCTCCGGTGTTCTTCAAACCTGGCTGGAAAATTCCCAATTTGAACTGAACCTCCACTTAGTTCGGGTTTCCCAGCTTGCCACGATTACCAGAGGGTACCCCTAATATGAAATAGGTCTAAATACTTCCTATAAACCTAGATATAGTATTGACATGTGTTTTGGATCTATTCATTTTGGGTGTTAATGTTGGCAACCAAGAGAAGTCCTAGTTCGTAACGGCAGTTGTGGCACAGTTTTCCAAAGTTTCTTTCTGGGGTTGAAGATTTTGAAACGAGGACCAGCTTTGTGGATTCTACAAACTGCGCAGCTTGTTATTTGGATGACAGAGTCTCAACTCAAACCCCCGCCTTCAATCCATCAGAACATATCAGCACCCCATTCTTGAAAGGATCTTCATTTGAACGAAGGAACGGACATGATTTGAACATCTTTGAAAGATGTCAGGGTCCACATTTCCCCCAAAACTTGGACAGTTTATACCTAAAATTGCCCAGTTCGGGCGAAGGGTGCCATGGTTTTGCCCATGGGAGATACCATGGAATACCTGAGGCCGGCCCTTCGCCCTTGGAAAAGGAATATGTTCTGGGGCAGCATGCAAATCCAAAGGAGAAGGAAGCATCAGTCGGGGCCTCAAACGACATCAACTCTTGTTAGGTTTTTCCGGCCTGCAAAAATCGAAGTCAGAGGGACAGCGCAAAAAGGAGTGTCGCACAAGACTCTACAGGTTCCAAGACCTCCCAGTTTTCAGGCATTCCGTAGGTGTTCTGTGATCCTCAGTGTTCTTAAAATTGTTGGCTTTAACCACAAACCAACCATTCACCCCAATAGATTAATCCCCATTAGATCCTCATTTAGATTCACCCAAAAGTGCCAAACAACAAGAATTTGCACAACACGTTTACCATTGATAGATTTTCCCATTCCGAATTGAGAAATCATCGGCCCCCAGCCACTTTGACGGAAGATTTCCTGCAATTCATGGCCAGTCCTGGTTGTCCTGGCTGCCGATCTGCACCTGCTGGACGAGGTGGGGGAACTCATGACGAACTGTCGTCATTTCGCGTTGTACCGTTGTGCCATCCATTTTTTGATCCATTTTGGCGGATCCAAGACTTAAACCCATCCCTGGTTGCACGAAACAATGAAGCAACACAGACAGTCAGAAGAAGAAACACACTTGCATTTTGTTTTAGATATGTGTATATACATACATACATACATACATACATACATACATACATACATACAGACAGACAGACAGACAGACAGACAGACAGACAGACAGACAGACCTACGTACGTACGTACGTACGTACGTACGTACGTACATACAGACATACATACATACATACATACATACATAGACATACATAGACATACATAGACATACATAGACATACATAGACGTACATAGAGATACATAGAGATACATAGAGATACATAGACATGCATAGACATACATAGACATACATAGACATACATAGACATACATAGACATACATACATTCATAGACATACATAGACATACATAGACATACATAGACATACATAGACATACATAGACATACATAGACATACATAGACATACATAGACAATCATAGACATACATAGACATACATAGACATAGACATACATAGCATACATAGACATATAGACATACATAGACATACATAGACATACATAGACATACATAGACATACATAGACATACATACATACATAGACATACATAGACATACATAGACATACATACATAGACATACATAGACATACATAGACATACATAGACATACATAGACATACATAGACATACATAGACATACATAGACATACATAGACATACATAGACATTCATAGACATACCTAGACATACATAGACATACATAGACATACCTAGACATACATAGACATACATAGGCATACATAGACATACATAGACATACATAGGCATACATAGACATACATAGACATACATAGGCATACATAGACACACATAGACATACATAGACATACATAGACATACATAGGCATACATAGACATACATAGACATACATAGACATACATAGACATGCATATACATACATAGACATACATAGACATACATAGGCATACATAGGCATACATAGGCATACATAGACATACATAGACACACATAGACACACATAGACACACATAGACACACATAGACACACATAGACACACATAGACACACATAGACATACATAGACATACATAGACATACATAGACATACATAGACATACATAGACATACACGAGATACATAGACATACATAGACATACATAGACATACATAGACATACATAGGCATACATAGACATACGTATATTGTGGAAGTTGTTTGTGTCCGAAAACCATGCTGCACAGGGAAAAGTCATTTGAATTCTCTATGGACAACGAGTCCTGAGTCCAGCCGGCCACGTTTCACCGCCACTGTCCTGTCCAGTTTGGATGGCAGGATGGCATGCGGTCGCAGCATGTCCAGCTTTTTGATGCATTTTGTACAATTTTACCAAGACATGAACGGGCATTATGTCTTGGAGGTCTATCGTGGTGTTTTGTTCTTAGTCTTTACATGTGTTTGCCACATTTCGCCACTATTGTTGCAGATTTCCTCATACCCCAAAAGGTTGTGCATGCTGCGATCAAAACGACGAACATTTGGCATGATGTGACCCAAAGTCATTGAGAAACCATGCCAGGCACAGTGACGTTTGCTTTGCACCACATTGAAAAAAATGTGCAAACGCGGAGCTATGTGGTGTCATCAACATCAAACATGACTGGCTGGGAAGTCCCATTTTGCTGGGCATTTCGATGGGGAAATCATTGAGCTGAGGGATGCCTCCAGCAAACCATGCGAGCTATTATTACATGATCCTGAACAGATGCCAGCCTTTTTTGAGGGAACACCATGGAACATTGTTGACACGAAAAAACATTGAACACCTGTGAGAAACCATAGTTTCTGCTCAGCTTTCCTTTGAACTCCATTGATCTCCGCAGCTTAGGGATCTGTATGAGACTAGCGGGCTGCGATGCCTGGCTCCCGCATCATCGAGGCAGCAATTTTGATGATGTTTTGCATCAGATGATATGAGTTGTGGCTTCCAAAGTGGTGAATTTGTTGATGTTTATTGATGTTTATTGAGGACCTACCCCACAAACTTGGTTTGCTATTGGATCCATTTTACAATTTTCAACAACGAAAGGGGGAATTGAGCATATCAACTGGACCTCAGTGCGCACGTTGTCAAAGTTCCTTTGACGTTTGACTTTCTTGGGATAAGGTCACATGGTCTTTATCAGCACGCGCAGATTCAAAACTCATGGATGTGACAGTGGTTGCCTTAACCTGGAATTGTGAAAAGAATTGCGCACCTTTTCGACGCTATTTCATTGCGTTTGGGCCATCTTTATTTGGGGTACACCCCCAAAATTGCAAGTTTCTTGAGTAACATGATCACAAAGAATTGGATTTGGGGTTCCCCCAACATTTTTATGTAGAGGGCCCCATGTGAGGGTGCAGCATTGCGAACCAGCAACAGGAGGCAGATAGCCTGTTGGCAGATGGTCCAACAGTTTCGCACACCAGCAGCAGGCGGAGCGACACTCCAACAGTTGATGTTGATTGATGTTGGTTCCCACTTGTCGGCCACACCCATTTGGTGACATCCAACACGTCATGCTTGGTTTGGGGCTTAACATTGGGTTTTGGGAAATGTTAGGATTTACCCTCTGGTAAACTAACATAACTTTGGAAAATCGCCATTTTTAATGGGTAAATAAACTATTTCTATGGCCATTTTCAATAGCAAACTGTCAGTTTACCAGAGGGTACCAATTTACCACCATGGAATTCGGCAAAGTGACGGAGTCCCTTGTCACGGAGCATTCCGTGCTGGAAGGCATTGGCGTTTCCATGGAGCAGCTTTGATAGCTGGCCTCTGTATGCTTGCTGCCCCTTGGTGCAGTGAAATTTTATCATGCTGCATGCTGCAACCCCAAAATAGATAGAACAGGAAGTACAAATGATGTAAATATCATGACTATCATCGACAACATCCTGGAAATCACTTGATTCTCCTTTCGAGGGTTGTTTTCTGCTAAGTTAGAAATTCATAGAAAGTAGAGCCAGAAATTGGGTTTTTCAGCCATGAGAATCATAGATCAAATTGACTTGGATCTGAGTGGGATGACCACGACTTGGACTTGGAAACCTCTGGGGTATTTGGCACCAAGAACTTGGGATGTTTCACCCTGACTTCAGCACTGAAATAAATAACCTGTACCTTCAGGCGCTGGTGTACGTGGGCCGAAGACCATCATTTTCAGCGCCCGAGAGGGGTCAGGCTTGGAAGATGCCAGCCCAGTATGGCAGATACCAACCCCAAAATTGCAATTTTCATCAGGAAATGCAGATGAACATGGGATTTTGATGTTTTGGAGAGGTTTGAGACTGATTTTGGCCGCTGATATTTGGAAATAAGCTGCTTTTCCCTTTCTCTGGACACGCCGCATATCACAATTTGTGTTGTGCACATTCCTACGTAGGTTGATATTCACAAATTCGTACTGAAGGGTATTGCTGTGAGTTTAGACTTTCGCCAGAATCCCCGTTCCTTGAAATTCGATCCCCACCTAGAAATCCTGGTTCAAGTTGTTGATCCGTTGATTCTTAGGATATTTTGGGTCCATTTTTTGCAGCTGTTAGGGAGATAGGATTAGATAAGATCATGAAGGTCCCAAAATAAGGTCCCACAGAAAATAGATATACTGTATATATATATATATACTGTATATAGTATATATATATACATACATATATACATATTAATACATAATATAACTATACATATCATATATATATATAATATACATCGGGATAGCATATCCATATTTTAATATTTCGGGGTTACACAGCTCGAGGCCGTGTCCCAAGAGAAGCCGGGACGCCAGGCCTCCTTTTGTGCGCCTGGAAAGATCATCCTTGAGTTTTTTGGGCAGAAATTGGATCATTTAGGAGAAACCATTTATAAATGGATTTATATGGAACATAAATTATAAATGGAATATCTATAAATCTATTTTACCCATTTATCTATAAATCTATAAATCTATAACTGGGGCAAAATTAGATGGGTAAATCTATGACCTAAAATAAAAAAATGATAGATATTTCATGATATTTCTATCATTACTTAAATTAGATGGGTAAAAACTGGTAAACACTAATTATGACATTTAGGATATTTTAGGATCAGAATTTTATGTTTTTTTCCTGTGACTTTGCAGCCGTGGGTTTGGGACTAATGACTAATGTTGGGAGATGTGCAACATGTGGTGCTTTCTGTTGACTCCCCTTGCTGCACTTGCTCCTCAAACTTACTTGAGTAATGATGTGGCTTATGAATGTTTCTCAGAAACCTTCTCTAAGGTCACTTCGTTCCTCGCACATTTCTCAGATGTTTCCCAGCTATTTCTATCAAATTTTTGGGGTCACCACTTTAGAACTATGTAGATAGATATATGATATCTGTATATATATATATATGCATACATAAATTAAAGATATATATCCGCTGGTTATTTAGCATAGCTATTGAAAATTACATCATAACTTCATAAATCAATGGTCCATGGAGTCCATCGCGCAGATGAACCTGGATGCCGTGGGCGGCTTGCTCGTGGCGGTGGAGCTGTCTCGTTGACAGAGATTTTTTGTGGTCATGGTAACATGGGGCTTTACAAAGGTCTTAATTTTGGGAATGAAAAATGGTACTACATGGTATGACATGGTATGAAAAATATGCCACACACTGCAATTTTCGTGGGGACGATACGGTTTTCACACGCTTTGTAACCATGATTAAGCAAACTATTGGATATAAGCCTATTTTTGGACAAGGCCATTTGCTGGTCATTTACTAGCTTACATACCAGCATGGGTACTACATGGGTCAAGATTATCAACCCCCATGACTTGACGGATACTCATATCCACTGCGGAGGGGTCCGAGGCTAATTTCAAACATCTATGCCGAAAAAAAAGTTTCGGAATCTGCTGTCATTGTACCAATGACATATGCTAGCGTTGGTTGGGCTAGCAAGAACTAGAATACACCTTTGTACAAAAAAGCGGAGATACCAACCAACAAACATGGACACAGTACTCGGATTTCAATGGATTTCGCAGGATAGCACTGGTCTTCTAAAATTGGAGCATCTGATGTATGTCCCGAAGGGTGCCCACCCAAGACACGAAATGGCACGGCCAGGGGCAACAACCACCCCCGACCATCCTGACTGCAAATGCCGTCAGGGCCTAAACAGAGCGTCTCCGGGTTTGGGCTTTTTGAAGCAAGAAACGGGCTAAACTTGGTTCGACCTTGGATTGGTCCAAACATATTCGGAATACCACAGATTTTTGCATTATTTTTTTGTGGAAACTGATGAGTAGAGAGTTATAACTTGGCGAAAGCCAGTTTTGTTTGCTCAGACCCATCAAGTCTGAACTCCACGAGTTGCTGGTGATTGGATGGTGCCAGTGGGAAAGCCTTGGTAGATTAGTGGCTGACTTATGATTGAGTGCAATTCTATGGGATATCAGTGGATTTCTTGGGGAATATTTGAGGATTATATGGGGTTCACAATGGGGAAGCCAATGCCCATATTGAAGATTCAATGGATTGAAGGAAAAAAACTCTACAGGAAGCGATGGTGTTTTTTTTGTTTAACACCAATTCGACTGGGATTTCCGGTTAAGATTTTCTCGAAAACACCAATCCTTCACGATATTTGATAAGGCGAAACATCTTTGAGTCGGCAATTTTATGCCGCCTCAGAAAGATGTGTCAATAAAAATGTCAATGTGTCTTTGGGACTACCCTCTGGTAAACGTTTACAGTTTGCTATTGAACATGGCCATAGAAATAGTGAGTTTTCCCATTAAAAATTGTGATTTTCCATAGTGCCATAGTTTTTTGTTAACGTTTACCAGAGGGTAAATGATGTTCTGGAACTTCCCATTGCCATGTGTGCGGCTTACTGAAAAAAATCTAATATGATCAAATATTAGCCAGAATCCAGCTATTGCAAACTATTATAAAAAAAACATTACCTTTGTATACCCTTGTTCTGATTAGCATCGAGGATGAAACGCCACCCTATTGAACTTGTAAGGCTGCGCCAACCCTCTTGCAAGCGGTCGGGCCCTTGGAACGGCAATGGAATGTGTAACTCAGAACACTGGGACCCTGCAGGTTTCCTATTGGACATACTGAACCATGTTCTTGACATATTTATCATAGTTCAGGATATTTCATCACATTTCATCACAATTTCCAGGGTTCCATAGATTTCGTCTCATACGACAGCCTTTGAATTTCACTCCATCCATTTCCAATGCGGCACCGTGCTAGGACCCGCCCAATTCTTTGCTGAAGAAAGCGGCGGCCATGGAGAAATCGAACCCGGTAGCTAGGTATGCGGTGCTCTTCAAACCTGGCTGGAAAATGTCCAATTTTTTCAGTGAACCTCCACTTAGTTCGGGGATTTCCCAACTTGCCACGAGTACCAGAGGGTACCCCGATTTTGTTGAAGATATTTAAATACTCCCTATAAACACAGATATAGTATTGACATGTGTTGAATCTATTCATTTTCTGTGTTAATGTTGGCAACCAAGAGAAGTCAGAGTTCGTAACGGCAGTTGTGGCACAGTTTTCCAAAGTTTTTTTGAGGGGTTGAAGATGTTGAAACACCTTTTTTGCAAGTGGGGTCTTGCAATCAGGAACTGTTTGAGATAGGAACGACCAAGTTTGGGGATTCTACAAACTGCGCAGCTTGTTGGATGACAGAGTCCGAACTGGAACTCCCAGCCTCAATTCATCAGAACATATCAGCACCCCATTCTTGAAAGGATCTTCATCTTGATTTGAACAAAGGAACGAACATGATTTGAACATATTCGAAAGATGTCAGGGTCCATTTTCCCCACATCTTGGACAGTTTATACCCAAAATTGCACACTTCGGGCAAAGGGTGCCATGGTTTTTCCCACGAGACATACCATGGAATACCTGAGGCCGGCCCTTCGCCCTTGGAAAAGGAATATGTTCTGGGGCAGCATGCAAATCCAAAGGAGAAGGAAGCATCAGTCGGGGCCTCAAACGACATCAACTCTTGTTAGGTTTTTCCGGCCTGCAAAAATCGAAGTCAGAGGGACAGCGCAAAAAGGAGTGTCGCACAAGACTCTACAGGTTCGAAGACCTCCCAGTTTTCAGGCATTCCGTAGGTGTTCTGTGATCCTCTGTGTTCTTAAATTTGTTGGCTTTAACCACAAACCAACCACAAACACCCCAATAGATTAATCCCCATCAGATCGCATTGCTGTAGATCCACATTAGATCCCCATCAAATCACCATCAATTAGCTTCCCATGAGATCCCAATTGATTAGCTCTCCATTAGATCCCATTATTCCTGGTCAGATCACGATCACATCACAATTGTTCAACGAATCTCCCTGTCAAGGAATTGGTTGAAGGGAAAAATCTGCAAGAAAACCCATATGTGATGGTCAATTCGATGGTTTCCTGTAAAGTTTCCGTTCAGCCAATCCATTGAATCTTCAATATTGCTTGGTTTCCTCCTTGTCCCATATATTAATCCGAGAATCTCCCGTAGGCCATAACAGGGTAGCCCAACATTCTTTTTCGCAACGGCCGAGGAACAGGAAAAGGCCCCTGGACCTCCAGATGCAGGGCCCCTGAAGGCGAAAAAGTGCCCTGGATTTTGGCGAAACCTCACCGTGTGATCTTTGTGGCTGATTAGTCATGCCTCATCTCCCCCCAAGGGTGAGGAAAAGAGGAAAGGGAGGAAGGGGAGTTAGAATATAGGAAGACCTCCTGAAAGTGGATTCTTCTTGCTGGAATTTCTTCAGGGATGAAGGGGAGCAGTCGGATGCCTCAAGAATAGGATATCCTGGTGTTTTGTTTCTGCTTCTTTCAGCGCTTGGTTCCAATCCTCAACAGATTCCAGCAGGCGGTGGAATGTCACCAGTTTTCACAAGCATAGCAGCATAGAATATTTCAAACAGCGGATTTTGCACTCCTGTGTTTATTGGAGGGTACTCACTTGGAAGATCCACGGGATTCTGTTTTGCGCTTCCTCGGCCAGAAGAAAGACGCAGAAGAAAGCAAGAGCAAGTCCTGTAAAACGGCGACACCCGGAGATACTTGCTACAAGGCGAGACATTGCTGTGCAGGATTGAGATCGCTAGTATTTTCACTGATTTGTGATTGTTCATCTAAACATTGCGGGAAAAAGACCAACCAGCATTGCAGCATTCCCATTTGGTGAGAATCATAGTGCGGACAAACCATGACTCACCCATATGTTCAATTGCCAATTTAAATGAGATGAAAACTGATGGTTCTCCAGCAAAGTGGTGGAGAATCTACAGGGTTTACCCCATGATCTTCATGAGAAAAACACGGTTTCAACTGGTGCATCTTCCCCAAGAAAGTCCAACCCACTGACTAATTATACATATCCTCGAAAATCCCCATATTATTGTTCCCATGTTTCGATCGTTAGACCCCCATGAATCGCTGGTGCTCAAATCCACCACTTTGAACCCTAAACCCCCATTTTGGATGGTTCAACAATCCCCATTAGTCACCATCTTTGGCACAAAAAAATCACAATGTTCCGTGATTTTTGATGGTTTTCTATCATGCCACATCTCCAGGTTTGATGGTATTTGATCCCAAAATTTGATGTGAACAGCAATGGTTTCTTCACCCTCAGCCGCCTTGGGAAAGGCTGTCCTTTGGGCCAAGTGGATACTCTGCGGCATGGGGTGAACATGGAGCACGTGTTCTCAGGAGCTGTTCGTTGGGATGAATGATACTACGTAGTATATTATATGCATACTCGATGAAAATATATGTATATATATATATGTACATATATATATATACACATATACATACATATATATATATATATATACATAATGTAATGGAATGTAACATAACGTAACTTAACGTAATGTACTGTGTGCAAATATTTGTTGATGGATACTGTATGAATATGACTATTTATCGGCATTGGATTTTCAGCATGTGCCTATCTCAATTATGGAGTATCACGGAGTATCAGTGATTGATAGTTGAGTGTAGGCCACAGCCTGAGAAAAATACTTGGTTTTCATAGCACAACTATAGCTGGATGATGCGGAACGTCATAGCTCTAAGGCGGTCTAGCCCCTTCCCCGCAGAATCTGGAGGATAAGGAACAAGTTGCTCAATGACACAAGAAAAATGGTGCTTGAATCACCACAAGATACATTTTCAACGCTTCATTTTTCCTGCAGAAAATAGATCCATGTTTTTTTTGGCTATGTACTGTAAGGGGACATATCCCCAAAACATTGCCTTCAGATCGGTATGGACCATACCAATCTGTCCTAGTCAATTCCCATTGAAATTGACCTTGAACAAATCACAAGTTGGTGCCACCCATTTGCAGTAGAAGTTGCTTTGTAAACCCATCTCCGAATATATATATATTATATGTACCATACATACGATATATAATTATATAATATTATATATATACACCAATATCCATAAATCTAACTTCCAACCTGCCAAGCAACTTCGCCAACGTCGCTTTTACGGCACCAAGGATTGGGCTCATCGAACATCCCACGTGGTATCCAGGCCTGAAGCGTGCCACGGCCAATCGTATGGCCATCCAGGACCCCCAGGGACCCCCAGGGGAAGCTGCGGACCGGGGTCAAAAAACCTTTGAAGGACACAGAAAAATACTTTTTACGGATCCGAAATGATATATAAGACATGTCGATCTCAGCATCCAAAATAGGGATTTATGTTAAAAGAACATGATTTAACATGATTTAACAATCCAGGGGATGAATAGTGGATATAGGGGTCTAGTGTAGTACTTAGTATTTTGCGATTAACGGAGATATTTACCATATGTACCTGATATCATGATTTAGGTGTGTCCGATGATTGAAGTAAACCAACCATGATGTGGGGTTATAGTTTTATAAGCACGGGATATATAAGCAACAACATCATGTTGGTATATTTTGGATGCGCCTGACCATGGGGATAATTAAACATAATTATTATAAACACCATTTATACTATTTGTGGCAATTTCTGTTGGAAGAACGATAAACTAAACAAACTAAACCATCATAATTTTTGTTGGGCACCCGACCTTCCGACAAACTAACCTGAAGCTGCAGCTACAGTTTTCCAAAATGAGGATTCAACATGATTCAGCTATGAAAACGAGTGAAACCTTGGGATGTAAGTTTACCCTCTGGTAATTTAACATAGCTATTGAACATGACCATTTATAGTGGATTTTCCCATTAAAAATGGTGATTTTCCATAGGTATGTTAGTTTACCAGAGGGTAAAAACCATGAATCATGGTGTATGATGGTAGAGGATCTCCCTCATGTGATGGTGCTGTACTTTTACCGGTCGGACTTGATGGTAGCCCTCAAATCCTACGTTTTTTTTTTGCTTTTCCCATGGGGAAAGCGTTCGGAAAATCGTGACCTACACATGGTTCATCTTCCACATCGATGTAAACATTTACCCTGTGGTAATCATTCTACAAAGGCATGGGTATGGATCAGCCCGCCGCCATAGCTGGAACCTTACACCTAATTACACTTCAGCACGACTTTTGCTGAAACCACTTGGTGATAGACTAGCCATAGCTGGTCGTGAATCCATTTTTATGACCTGTGATTCATGGGATCTTCCATCCATGGCACTTCACTGAGACCATGGCACTTTCCGGTCTCAAAATCAGGTTTTGGCACGGGGACTCGGGGCTGATCATTTGTAGATTTTTATCTTTTGTACATATGGGTGTACCCCTAAACCCAATGGTTAATGATCATTATCCCTATTAAATGGCTATAATTGGGAATATACCCTATTTTCAGACACACCCATATTTCTACTTTGATGTTGTGTAACATGAAGTTGAGTTTAATGTTGGACTTTTGACATAGAGATGTTGGACCAGGTCCTCTTTGTTCATGTCTTGGGGAGTTTTTTGGGGGTTTCGGGGGGTGGGGGGGTGGGTGGGGGCTGTGATAACGTTCTTGATAGTACGCTCTTGATGGTTCATGTACATGAAGTGATATATATATTCCTCATGAAGTGACATATGTGTTGCTACGCTGTGCACTCTTCTTGGCACATGAGTTGATACTTTTGCTGCTAGGCTCTTCATATTTCATGTACATGAAGTGACATACGTGTTGCTACGCTGTGCACTCTTCGTGGTATATGAGTTGATACTTTTGCTGCTACGCTCTTGATGGTTCATGTGCATGGAGTGACATACGTGTTGCTATGCTGTGCACTCTTCGTGGTACATGAGTTGATACTTTTGCTGCTACGCTCTTCATATTTCATGTGCATGAAGTGACATACGGTGCACTCTTCGTGGTACATGAGTTGATACTTTTGCTGCTACGCTCTTGATGGTTCGGTTCCTGTACGTGAAGTGACATAAGTGTTGATACGCTTTTCATTCTTGGGGCTTCATTTATTTCGTTTTTTTTCAGCCATAAGAGGACCTGGTAAAAGCTTTATTAGGAATACTTCTGTATATTTGTATATGTTCGTAATGTTAGATATTGTATCATCTCACAATATGGTATAAGCTTTTGGCCACGGAACTGAAAAATGGAGGGTGAAGGAAATTGTTGTGAAAAAAAAAGTTTTGGAGATGATGGGGCGAACAATTCCCCTGCAAATACGATTAAAAGTCTGTTTTGGATGCCGTCCTCATGGCATTTCGTGACCATTTTCAAACTATCGATGTTCACAAAACACAATGGGTTCAAAAATCCATTGCACGCTGCTGCTGAAAATGTTCAGTTCGTCAGGGGCCTCGAGCCACCGTGTTACTTGTTTTTCCACTCATTTTTTGCAGTTTTGTCGGCCAGGAGTGGTTGCACAACAATTCACAAGGACGAAGGGCAATGGGAGAACCTCAGGCACCCCCAACTAAGCTAGTGACTTAGTGATATATGGGGTAGTTAGAATCCATTGGAATAGCATGGAATAGCTATAAACAAAGCAGTAGAACGAGTTTGCAACCAGGTTTTTGACGATGATCTCTGGACGTTTCAAACCTTGAGGGTTTCTCCCCATAATTGCATCCTCCGAAATAGTGTGCCTTGCAGGCAGGAAGGATTGGGCATGAATGGATTTAAGCAGCAATCCCAGCTTCTTGAGATGGGTTTGTTTAAAAATGTCCCCCAAATCCACTGGTTGAGCATCATTTTTCCCGTGAGAACTGGATACAATTAATGATTCGCTTGGTATTTTTTGGGTCATCATCACTATTTTCAGACACCCGGAGATGGGTTGATTCATGAGGATCTAAACATCGACACATTTCAGACGGGAATTATATAATTTACTTTGGTAGCTGGGAAATAAAGAATCCTATCCTGTCTATGACCTCCCATGGTCCAGGCTCGCAGGTCCCAAAAGGGGATTTCAGACTGTTGCGTGCCCCTGGTCACAGCATCACAAAAGATGTTCATCCCTCCCTTCATGGCCATTTATTACCATCTATTACCATCTATATATTACCATTTACTACCATTTATGACCATTTATGACCATTTATGACCATTTATGACCATTTTATATCCATTTTATATCCATTTTATTACCATGTTATATCCATTTTATATCCATGTTATATCCAGGATCTTTGGAATCTGGTGGAATCACAATCCTAACTTGATCCTGGCGCCGCAGGAGATTGCCACCGACCTTGCGACCACGAGACCTACCCGATCCCACCTTCAGCAGCTTGACGTTGAAGCGAGAGGCAAGGGTAAGATAAGAAATACCTTGGCTGATAACCACCATATATATATATATATGAAATAGGGAATTATGATGTATACTACCTGGGTTATTGATGGTTATTGGGGATTATGATAAACCATATGAATGAGACAACTCTTATCTGAGAATTGGCTTATACCATGTTATACCATCAAATAACAATTTTCATGGGAACATTTGGTGACGACAATCCACATCGATCCTAAGATGTTCGTTCAACCAACAGTTGCAAACAAATCAAACTGTTGTTGGGCCGTTAGAAACCAGGATGGACTTTTCCATTGTTTGTTTGTCCAATTATCCACAAGGCAAATATGGGCAACTAACATAGATGTGCAAAACTAATGGGTTTGCAGGAAAATTATCTACACATGGTGGATTTTCACATCATTTCACATCTATGTTAGTTTACAGGAGGGTATCCAAGTAGACAAACATACCTCACTGCTGCCTGTGTTTCTTTGGATCCACGCAGAAACAGCCCTTCAGATTGTGGTTGTGTGTGATTGGTTGAGTTTGGATTCCATCGAGAAAGCTACAGGAGTTCAGCTTTTCCATATATAGCTAATTCGCGCTTTATTTTGTATCCATGTAATTCATTGTATGTTTATGTAATCATGTAGTATATATAGATAGTTCTGCAAAACTGATCATCATAACTATTGTTCAGAACACATAGCATATACATAGCATATCATAGCACGGCCTTAAAGGAACTGAACGTTTGATTTTCCCAAGGGCTTCTCTGAGGTCGACCCAAGCATCAGTTTCTGAAGTTTCGCGTAATTTTCTGGGGTGTAACTACCCAAAACAATCAGACACACCCGTTTCCATCATTGGTTAAAACCCTCGTATTGATGGTTGGTTGAAGTACGATGTCTCAGACATTTGATGGTTAAACTCATCTGTTTGATGTTTAAATCAAAAAAAAATTAATGGTTAATTCCAGATTTTTGATGGTTAAATCCCATTTCAATCCAGATTTTCGACTCAGGGCAAAGGTAAACCATCGCTCTTCTGCTTCTCTGTCGCGCGCATGGGACCGGCGCCTTGTCAAAATGGGCAGAGTGTGACAGGTGGGGTAGCTGGAAAATTGCGCATTTACCATCATTTGGGGGTTTCCTGAAATGGGGGTATACCCCAATAGCTGGATGGTTTATAATGGAAAATCCTACTAAAAAGGATGATATGGGGGTACCACTATTTTAGGAAACCCCCATTTACACATCAAAAATTGTGAAACCATGGGTATCAATTTTCCTAATTTCAACCATGAAACATGGTGACATGTGGGGATTTGCCATGGATTTACCTGCGAACAATGGTGACAAATGGGGGTTTACCATCAAACATGGTGAAACATAGGATCTACTGCGATTTACCGAAACACTGCTGGCACATGGGGATTTAGCCATGAAACAAGTGTGGAAATTTGCGCGGCGTGATCGTCAACTCGGCCGGCATTTGTCCGAAAGGGTCATCGTTCCGTTTTCAGGAGGTGTTCGAAAAAAAAGGGGGGTATCCAAAATGGATTAAGTTTATAATAGTCATTATTTGATACTTAAATGATACCTTCCCAATTAGACAGCCTAGGGGTTTATTAATCCAGGGTTGACATTATATAATGGAAAATCCGTCTGAAGATACCGGTAGATGATTTCGGGTATCCCTAAAATATCGGAAACCTCCAGACTCCATGTGTTTGTCAACACAGTAACTAGGGGCGCATGAATTGCGATGTTTGAATCGGGAAACTACCACCACAGGGTGTTGACCAAGCCTATGTTGAAGCAAACCTACATTCTCCTGAACATGGGTTGAAACTTCTCAGGAAACTTATGGATTTTGATCAAAAAAAGATGGTCTCCTGCAGGTTTTGTTCCTTTCAATCCATTGGTATCCAATTCCATTTTGGATGACAGGAGCTTAACAAGTTTATTCCACACCTTTCGAACTAAAGTCCAAAATTTGTTCAGATCACTTTTCACATCTTTCCGCTAGTCACTTGTCATTTTGCATACCTTCCAGCAATAAAACGTGGCAACGAGTCCCCTATAAATGGAAGTTTAATGGGAAAATCATCGATCTATTTTCCAGCAAACCATATTTCCCATTATGTAATATTATGTACCCTCTGGTAAACTAACATAACTATGGAAAATCACCATTTTTAATGGTAGAATCCACTATAAATGGCCATTTTTCATAGCTATGTTAAATTACCAGAGGGTACAATTCTTGATGGCTACCACCACCATGAAATTCCCACGAAAAGCCACGAAATCTTAGAGCCCAGCGCCTTGCGCGCCTTAGGAAATGGATACCATGTTCATGCAGCGGCAGATGGGCGCTGGCATCTTCGCCTGCGATGGCCACGCCGCAGCTTGGTGATTTTGGCGGAACAAGTGGCATCCGAAAAACCACAGGGATCGAACAGGGGATTTGTAGCTTTTTCAATGGATCAAACATGCCTGGAATACAGTTGTTTCATGTTGTTTAGGAGCAACAAATTGACACGGGATGAGGTTGGCAACCACAACTTGCTGGATGTCGGTGAATCTGTCAGGTGTACAGCGACACTCACGTGAACATCGATGGCTTTAAAACGATCCTTGGGCCTTGATCCATGCCCGTCCTACCCGGATGGAAGAAGATGTGGTTGGTGGTTTAAAGATGTTTATAGATGTTTCAAGTTTCAATCATGTTTGTGCATGTTGACCTTGCACCTTTTACATCCTTTTACTATGTTTTTTTTCTGGACATATTTTTAAATTTTACCCAGGTAAAGGCCCAACCCACCAGTCATCCACCACAGTTTGATGGAGATGGCTATCACGAGTCTTATTATATGTCCTCCTAAGATCACAACATATGGATCAGCCAGATGGTGCCCAAAGCGGTCCTCGAAGCCTGAACAATCCACACATTAGATGATCCGTGGAGTTTTGTAGTCATGATTCGGAACTGGTTTCAAAAAATCTGGGATAGAATCCCTTCCGTTCATATTAAACACCTTCCAGAAACCATGGTTTGATAGGGGATAAAAACACATATTTGGGACCATTTAAAGGGTGTAAAAAATATTTCGGGGCATGGGATTATGCCAGTCTGGGATATAGCCCTCAAAGCATTTTAAACTGGAATTCTTGGTGAGACTTCCTATCACAGCATTAGCCGATTTCTGGAAGTTTTTTCACGGTATTCCAAGAAGCTTGAAACAAGGTAAACCAACCACTTACCCTGAAGGATCATAAAATCTACAGTACCTCTTGAATTCATCAGCTCATCACACGTATTGAATGTATTGATTGTCGAATCCCCATTTGGGCTGATGCCCAGTTTTCCATGTGAAATCCCCAATCTCAAAAAATCTCACCCCTTTTCGTCGCCATCAATCACCATTTCACCATACCCTCTGGTAAACTAACAGCTTGCTATTGAAAATGGCCATTTATAGTTGATTTACCCATTAAAAATTAAAAATGGTGATTTTCCATAGTTATGTTAGGCTACCAGAGGGTAACTTGGATGATTCTCCTGTGAAATCCCAGGGAAAACTTCCACCTTCCACCAGGACGCTGATTCCCTCCACAGCCTCTGGGGTGAGCACAGACAAAACGGCGGCCAATTCGCAGGACAGCCGGGCTGGGTGAGGTAAACGACCTTTGGTCATGTCATAAATGTGATGATTATAGGGAAAGCATGTATAACCCTAGGGTAACCACAGATTTGGTGAATTTCATAGGGTAACCATGTATAAATTAGTATAGATGATTTATATTTACCCTCTGGCTATGACTAACATAGCCATGGTATAGATGGCCCATTTATAGATGGTTTAGCTATTAAAAATGAGGATTTTCCATGGCTATGTTAGTCATAACCAGATGGTACCTATGGATGGTCTACTGTAATAGATGTTTACCTTGAATTGTATAGATGTTACCTATGAAATGATGTTACCTATGTTCTGGGTATAGTTCTGTATCAATGATTTAGCTATAGATTTTTCTTCAATCTTGCGAATTGGAGAAGCCTTATTTTTGATGCGTAAACAATGAACTATAGATGGGCCATTTTAACAGTAGCGAACTGTTAAATTACCAGAGGGTCAATTGTATAAAAGGGATGGTTAAAGTAAGAATGAACTAGAAATACGATGGTTCACTATATGTTGCATTATCAATCCCAAGTGACAACAATATGGGTTGTTTTTGTCCACCAGGTACCAACAGGGGCAACACATTTTTCCCGCACATTAAGAGTGAACCATCCAGTGTGTTTCAACCCCAACCAGAAATAGCCAGTTCCAACTGTTTGTTCTGTAGGGATTCCGAGCTCTGCCATAGGGTTTCACAACCATGGCTGGTTGGTTGGAACTGGGGTTCCAGGTTGTGACTGCAACGATCCATTCCGTCGAGAGACCACGCTCTGGTAATTTAACAGTGGAACATTGGAAAACGCCTGCGGCATTTTCCATGGCAAAAAATCCATGATTTTTGATGGCAAGTTACTTAAGTTGTGTTAGATTTTTAGATAACCAGACAGTGTCAGCACTTGAAAGAAGAAAAATTTGGGAAGCGATGACCACGTTTCTCCGAAGTCAACGGAGGCTGACATCTGTTTTTTTTGATCGCAAAATGTGGGATCCAGAGGCCTCACAAGTGTCAGGTCTTCATGAATACTTGGAACAACCTTCTGCAACTTGGCTTGGAAGGGAGGTATTTTTGAGGAGAACCCCATGTGACATTCAGATTGGGTTGCTGAAAATATGCTTCATCGGATTTTTTCTGCTGCTGTGGATCCCAAGGGAAACAACCCAGGATGAACACGCAAAGAACTTTGATTTCACGTGAATTAACGAGATCATGCAGCCTTAGGATCTGATCTTGTTTGGGTTTGTCTGACAAAAAAGGGGAACACCCCAAAAAACATCCTAAATCCATTGGCGAATCATCATTTATCCCTATTTCTTTTGGGTATAATTAATTATTATATATCATTATATTTTGAGGGTATAATCCCTATCGGGGGCAGAAGCATGGTGCTAGCCTTTGCCTTCTTTTGAGTCGCATTAGAAACATTAGACCAAGACCTCAGATGAAGGAAATGTCGCTCGGGCAAGATAGTTGATGTGGTAAGGCCATTTTATTTTGGCTACCATTTGGGATAGTTTATACAGATTTATACAGTCTATACCACCCATTTATGGTTCTGGGGATGGTTTTCCGTATTGGGTTTACCACATCAACAAAGAAACCTGATGATAGTGGTGACTAATCTGGGCCGATGATCTGGGGATTCCAACTGGGGAGCCCCAGACGAACATGGTCTCTATACAGATCAATATAGTGCCCCACAGAAAGATAGAAATCTTTTTGGAGGTTGCTGTAATCTGTAAAAACTCTATAGTACCCCAACTAATTATTATTGTATTTGAGTTTATCACCTTTTTCAGAAGTTGGAGGTTGCTGTAAGAAAGGAACAAGCCACTAGTCCAATCTCTCAGGACTACGACGAAATGGTACGAGTACGATTTCATCGCCAAGGATCGAAGACCTGATGGTAAACAAACAGTTTGCGAACTGGAAAATGGCCCAGTCGAAATAGTTGATTTACCCATTAAATCCAGAAAAATAGCATGGTGATTTCCCAGTTCGCAACATGTCAACGTTTACCGGTAAAACTTGGATGATTCTCATGTGAAATCCCAGGGAAAACGTTGGATCAATGGATGGTTGAAATCCCAGTCAGATTGCGCTATTTTTGGGATCATTCTGGGTGTCATTTTGGAGTGGCGATCAATTTAATCCACTCATGGGATTTCCCAGTTCCTACTGGGACCCTGCTATACGACCCGCAGGTGGACCCAGACTGTGTCTTCTTCCCTGCGCGCTTGCGTGGACATGTTCACAGTTATGTGGGCCAGAACGTCTTTTTTCTGAAACTTGGACGTGTCATCTGTTGGGTCTAGCATGGGATGATACCCGAACATTTCTGTTTTTTTTAAATCATTGGGGGGTTGTGATGGGCTGTGATGATTAGCCATCAAATTTTGGGGAAGACCGGGGTACTGGTGCCTTATGTTCATCGATTTTTCAGTTCAATGTTTTATCTGAATTATGATGAACAGTATATAGGGATTTGAGTGATGAAAATTCGGGGGTTAGTGACACTATCTAATATCAAAATGAATGAAACCGCAACAATTGAGCTAAACCAGAATAAACATGGCCCAAACATCAAAACGTCGTATGCACTTGAGAAGACGTTTCGGGGAAATCTAGGGGGAAACCACGCTCTTGCAGGTTTCTTACTAAAATATACTAAAATAAAGTAATATATACGTCACCTTACGTGTATATATATAATATGATATATATATGATATATATATATAATATGTTATATATAAATAACAATATATATATCATATAAACTATATATAATATATATAATATAATATATATATAATATAATACATATAATATTATATATATATATATGTATTATATAATATGTAAATAATAGTAGTAATACACACACATACCTACGTACGTACGTACGTACGTACATACGTACATACATTCATACATACATACATACATACATACATAATACATACATAATACATACATAATACATACATACATAATACATACATACATACATACCTACCTACCTACCTCCCTGCCTACCTACCTACCTACCCACCTACCTACCTACCTACAGACAGACAGACACAGACACAGACACAGACACAGACACAGACACAGACACAGACAGAGACAGAGACAGAGACAGAGACAGAGACAGACAGACAGACAGACATACATACATATATATATAATATGATATATAATATAAAATAATATAATGTAATATAAAATATTATTTAATATTATATAATATAACACATTATAATATAGTATAATATTGTTTAATATAATATAATATAAAAAAATAAAATAAAATATAATATAATATATTATGATATGATATGATTTGATATAATATATTATGATGTAATATCTATATAATAATAAATATATAATATGATATATATATATATATATCTATAATATGGTATATATATATATATGATATGATATATACAATATGATATATTTAATATGATATATATATGATATGATATATACAATATGATGTATTTAATATGATATATATATAATATGATATATATATATAATGTGATATATATATAATATGGTATATATATTTATCATATTTAACAATATGATCTACATATAATATAATATGTATGTATATAATATGATATATATATATATATACAATATTTGTATATATATATATATATATTGTTTTTATATTATTACATATATATCATATTATATATATATCATATGATATGTATATATATATGTAATACATAAACAATATATATATATACACATGTAATACAATAATATATATATATATATATTATAACACTTGACACTTGACACTTGACACTCCACACTTTACACGCTACACTTTGCACTTTAAACTTTGCACTTTTCACTCTGCACTCCACACTTTTAAGTATAGACGCTCCACACTCTACACTTTACGCTTGACACTCCACACTCTACGCTTTACACTTTACACTCCACACTCCACACTCTACACTTTAAACTCCACACTCTACAATCTACACTTAACACTCCACACTCTACACTTTACACTTGACACCCCGCACCCCCATACTCTAGCCTCTAGACATTACACTGCGCACTGTGCAGTTTACACTTCCCCTTGTACACTTCAGACTCTACACTTTACACTTTATACTGGTATATATGTATAATAGTAATAATAATGTTAATAATAATGAAGATAAAGTAATACCAGTAGTACGGCACAAGGCGGTGGCGGAAGTTTCAAAAATAGGAAACCTATAGGAAAGGTTGGTTGTTGTGAATCAGGGGAGGCAGAGCGAGGCCACTGATGGATCGAAAGGTGATTGATCTCTCTCACTCTTTCTCACTCTTTCTCTCTCTCTCTCTCTACGTACCTACCTATCTATCTATCTATCTACCTATCTATCTATCTATCTTTCTATCTATCTACCTACCTACCTATCTAATCTATCTAATCTATCGATCGATCGATCTATCTATCGATCTATCGATCTATCTATCTATCTATCTACCTATCTATCTATCTATCTATCTATCTATCTATCTATCTATCTATCTATCTATCTATCTATCTATCTATCTATATCTCTCTCTCCCTCTTTCATCTGTCTATCTGTCTAGCTGTCTGCCTGTCTATCTGTCTATCTGTCTATCTATCTATCTGTCTGTCTGTCTGTTTGTCTGTCTATCTGTTTGCCTGTCTATCTGTCTATCTATCTGTCTATCTGTCTACCTGTCTATGTGTCTATCTGTCTATCTATCTATCTGTCTATCTGTCTACCTGCCTATCTGTGGTGCAGTGTCATTCAGTGTAGTGTAGTGTAGTGGAGTCTAGTGTAGTGTAATTAGTGTAATTAGTGTAGTGTAGTGTAGTGTACAAATAGTATTGTTGTTGTTGTTGTAGTTGTAGTTGTAGTTGTAGTTAGTGTAATGTAGTGTAGTGGAATGTAGTGTAGTGTAGTGGAATGTAGTGTAGTGTAGTGTAATGTAGTGTAGTGTAGTGTAATGTAGTGTAGTGGAGTGTAGTCGAATGTAGCGTAGTGTAGTGTAATGTAGCGTAGTGTAGTGTAATTTAGTGTAGTGGAGTGTAGTTGTGTAGTTGTAGTTGTAGTATAGTGGAGTGTAGTGTAGTGTAATGTGGTGCAGTGTAGTGGAAGGTAGTGTAGTTTAGTGTAATGTAGTGTAGTGGAGTGTAGTGTAAAGTAGTGTAGTGTAGTGTAGTGTAATTGAGTGTAATTGAGTGTAGTTGAGTGTAGTGGAGTGTAGTGTAGTGGAATGTAGTGTGTAGCTGTAGTTGTAGTGTAGTGTGGTGTCGTGGTGGTTGTAGTTGAAAATGCTACAAAACCCTCATGTTTTGCTCGCTTTTGAGAAGGTGCAAAATCCCTTGCGCCTGCCACGCGAAACGAGCTCTGAACGTCCAAAAGTCACACCGTACGTGGTGTGTTTTGTACATGTTGACTTCGAAATGTGCTTCGCGCCACAACGGCATACAACGGCGTGCACTTTTTCATCGCTCATTTGGCCAGATGGCTCCGCACCCGCCGCTTTAGCGAGCCTACTTTTCGACCCTCCGGAGCCTTAAACCATTGGAAAAACACAGTGCTTCGCCGTTCGCGACTTTCCTACCTTTTCGCGCATCTGCATCTTCTTTCTTCTGACCCTTTCTCTTCTGTCATCTTCTCTCTTCTACTCTTCTCTTCTCTCTGACTCTTCCCATCTCTGCTTTTCATCTGTACATATTGTTGGAAGTTTGACTTCTAAACTTCCTTCGGATAATAATGATAATGATAATAATAATGATAATAATGATAAAAAAACAATAATAACAGGTACCCCTGTGAACGTGCGTGCCATGCAAGTGGAAAAGGGGACAAACGCTGGCCTGAGTTTGACATATGGCCCATTGCCGTGGAGCAAAATATCCAACCAGGACCTGATTCCGGGGAGTGCCTCATGGCCTATGCCAACAGGTGTGGTGGACCCATGATGGTGGATTTTTGCTTCCAGAATTGGGACCGCTTGCAAGCCATCGTTAAGAAAAGTTGGAAGGTTCAGCATCGCCTTCCAAACCAAGACGCGGTGGCAAGTCTTGCAGGATCGCAAAACAACGCTTGCACTTGCGATGGTTCCAGCCCTGGGTCTGGATTGCCCAACGGGTGCTGCCGTAGGCGGGAACTTGCCCGGATATTTCATGAGCGCCCCTCTGAAGAAATATTTAAATATATTGAAACGTACATTTAGATAAATTGGATACCATATGTTTAAATGGCTGGGAGAGCCAAGGAAAACCTTCCTGGAGGCAGTCTAATATACCAGTTCGTATATTTACTGTAAACATCTGTATATTCAGATGTAGTTACCGTACACGAAGATGTGGCAACTCCCACGAGCATAGAACAAGTAAAATCTTGTTGGAATTGCAACAACTAGCGATACCCTCTGGTAGTTTGAAACAGTTTGCAAACAGGAAAATTAAATCCATTCAAGATGCATTGACTTTCGTTCGCTTCTGCTTTTTCTTGACTCTCCAGACACAATGATATCCTGCGGGACCCCAGGTCTCTAGATCATGAAACAAAACGAAACTCTATGACTCTACGTCAATGAAATGAAAGGCTCATGCGCAGCACGTAGATATGATGCCCGGATTTATATTGTCCATTGCCGTTCTCGGACATCAAATAGCGGATTACAAAATACTTACCGTGATCAGTGATAAGCTCATGAAGAAAAAGACATCACAGCACCGCGTGTGCACCGTGGCGGGAGCAGCCTTCCATGGACGACCCTCTTCCATCGCTGCTGCGCCAAAGCATCCTCAAGTGGGTCGGCTTTCCCAGAAGGTTGATCAGGAGCATGTGGCGGGGGCAAATCATCTATATACCCCGTAGCCCGAACCATTGCCTATAGCACGATCGAACTCAAACCACCTGGGGAAATTTCACCTCACTCATCGATCTGAACCCTATAGGCATGGTAACGCCGGCGATCCTGTAATTCTTGAAGTCCGGCCTGACTCCATGTACATCATCATTGACTCATTGACTGGAATTTTGAGGGGCAAAAACAAAGCACCTTAAACACACACACACACATATATATATATATAGAGCCAAAAAACCCGAATAACATTGAACCAATGCATGGGGCCCGTGAATCATTTGGCGCTTATGATCTGATGAAGCCGGCACGACCGCAGCCGCCTACTGCGCTCAAGCTAGCTAGACCGGAAAGGCAAACAAGCCCGCACCCCCCCCCTCACGACGATGATGGGCCCAGTGCAGCAGAAAGTGCAGGCGCTGAAGTTGGTGCACCGCACTGAGGGCCAAGTGAGATCTGCGTTGCGCCAGAAAGGGTACGCGGCGCCGCGCATTTCGCACCTGATGCGACTGCCGACAATGCCCAGCACAGTCAGCGGCCCAGCGCCGCAACCAGACCCTCCAGGACCTCTGACGTGAAAACGAAACAATCATGCCTCCACACAGAAACGCATCGATCCTCAGCCATATTCATGATGATAGATAACACTGATAACACGAATGATGCACAATCAATTAGATCCTACGCGCCCAACACAGATTGCTTGGGCAAATAGGTTGATCACCGATGACCCGATACATTTCGGACAAAGACTTGAGAGCAGAGTTTATAAGCTCTATAAATAATATATTACATATATATGGTAATGATCTACCATTCAGGATTGAGACATCTCTTAGTGCAGGAAGATCGATGGATGCATAAAAAGGAACATGAAAATTACACCTAGAGATGTGAGAGAGAGAGAGATATATATATATCTAATCTAGCTATATCTATCTATATAATTCTAGACCCCCTGACGCCCTCCGGCAAATCGACCGAAATTCGCAGGAGGAGCTGGACGGGGAGCTGCGCAAAAGGCACCGGCTGCGCTACCTGGCCCGGCTCCTGCAAAGGGCAAAACCGAGGGCTGTGCGTTGGCGGGCTCACGCACACCAACGCCAAGTGCAAGCAGTCCACCGCCAACATCGGGGGCCCAGAATCAAACTGACAAATAATTTTGCAAAAGGCAACTTGTATGTTCCATGTAACGAGACACATCCAACTTGCGAAATGCAATCAAGGTGTTTCAAGCCATTAAGCATTGGTGGGCAAGTTCAAGACTGCTCATTCGAGATTCATATTTGGCAAGACTAGTTGGCCCAGTCAACATGGGTGGACTGGCTGACTTCGTTGCATTTAACTCAGCGATGCATTTTTCACTTAGTGGAGTGAAACAATATTGATAGTTTACAGATGAGTTCGCGGTTCTCTCAGATTCATTTTTCTCATTCTTTGGCCCAGGTTCGAACTTCCTTCAGCGGAAGTTCAGCCCTGAGATCTGAGCCTGCACAATATATATATATATATCAACATATATATATATCAACATGTATATATATATATATCAACATATATATATATTCATTATTTACATATATATATAGTATACTTTACATATCTAAACCACAAATAAAAACATATCTATCATTTTTATATATTTCACATGTATTTATAGATAATCAATATGTTCAATCTGTATAATATGTCAATTTTTTTTTTTGATATATGCATGTACATACATATATATACATATATTGAATAAAGGGCAAATACATACATACATACATACATGCATGCATGCATGCATACATAAATACACATATATATATATATATATCATAAAATATCTTTAATTTAATGTATATATATATTTACATACATATATATATAGATATTATTTATATATAGATGGATATATATATATATAGATATAATATAAATATATATAGATATAATATATATATATATTTAAATATAGATATAATATATTTAAATATAGATATAATATAGATATTGCATATATATATATATGTAATGTCCATTTAAAATATATTGCGCGTGATCCTCACAAAACTCACCACGCAATCCACTCTCAGGAATTGTGGGAAGTACGTTCCGGCAGCTCGGCCGTGACCGCTGAACAGGGATAGGGATGGGCCCATGGGCCCCGTACTCCATTGAAAACTAAGATGCTAAGATGGAACCAACATGGAAAAATCATGAATCTGGCTAAGTGATCTAAGTGGACATGATCAAATCAGATTCGGTGTTTTGGTTGCATATGGTCGATGCTTGGGCTCTATGTTAATGTTTTGGGTTGTAAATCCAAGGACATGAGTTTCATGTTTCAAGATGGTCTGCGACATGGAGGTAACTACATCAACATTTTATATTCCCTGCGATTCAGCAACAAATCGTGGCGAAAGGATGGAAACAAACCATATAAGAAACTATGGGTAGTATAGAATCAAGTGTTAGCACCAAAATACAACAATGTATACAATGATATATATATATATATATGTATACACATAATCACATATATATATATACAAATATATATATATTATTGGATTTTCAAAGAAAAAAAAACCTGTGGGAACTGGTGATTTTTTGTGCCGAGGCCACGATGTACGGCGCATTAGAGGTCTACTCCAAGTCATCTTTGGGAGCCTACCTTTCAGCCCATCCAAGGTGGGCCAGGGCTGAGAATATGAGGGGATAACCGTTGGATGGTTTTTTTTTAGGTTGAGATGTTTCCATCATGATTTATGTTGACTTGTGTTTTTATGATGATTTTACGATGGTTTTCTTTGATTTGGTTCAGAGAGATGTGGAGTATACCGTATGTGGGTCATTTGAGACGAATCGGATTGGCAGTCTTGCAATGACGACGAGGAGAACGCCCATCCTGTGAATTTTGACGAAATTTACACCCTGCTGAGAGGAAGAGTAACAAAGCGGGGGTCAACGAGCCGGAGAACCAGGGTAAAATAAAACTGATGTTTAGCACGGTTTGCTCCAATCCATTCTAGGTAATGATAGCCACAAGGGGGGATGCATTGCTAAGTTTACCTCTTTTATCTTCCCATACTTTACCGAAGCAAATGTATCAGGAAACCCCACTGCTTCAGTTTCCTCTTGCTGCGTCCCTGGCTGTCATCCCAAGTATCTTAGTTCTGGTTGTTGCTTCGATCCCCGTTTTTTTTGCCAGCAGGTGGTGATTGTAGCAAACCATCCTCATTTTGGTGGTGCCATTGATTATAACATTTATAACAATGACGGAGCACCAAGGTACCAGGGCTAACAGTTGACAACGATACATAAAAACCAACAAAACTTGGAAATTCGGCGTTGCAAAGTGGGCCCCCATAGTTAGGTAAGTTGGTCTAGAATGGTTTAGAACCAATAGAACTACAGTAGGGTTTATGGTGGACATATCTAGACAGTTGCACGGGTTATAAACCAACTTGTGACTGTGGGTCCTCTTTGAATGACCAATTCATTTGTGGTTCTCCAGGCTGTAAATTTGACACATACCCATATTGCAGTTTACGCACCAACTTAGTAGGTGGTTCATGAACATGGTAATCATCCAGTTCGCTTTGAAAATAAATGATAAGCGAGGATAAATGAGACACACCCAATAAATTCAATTTGTCTGTGGTTTGAAGGAAATCCTTTACGATTGTGGGCTACGACATTTTCACACTGGTCCCAGGTCCCAAGTGTCCACTCCGGGGGTCGTCTTTTCGCCAGGTGTGAAACCTCCTTCCCCTTTGGTGCCTGGGGGGAGGACAAATACATGACGAATTGCTTGGAGATGTTAGGCTGCAAATCGGCACCTTGGCGGAAGTGTTTTTTTCAGGGATCAGTGGTTATGGTGAAACATAGGGAAAATATGGGAGAATTCTCATTCTCCCATAACATGGGAAATTATGGTTGAAACCATGAGATTTTGGGATACCCTGTGTTCAGACAAAGCCGTAAGGGTTACGGGTTACATTGCTTGAAGCCAGGGCACCACCCGCATTTTTTTGTTGGGAGGATATCAACCTCCAAAATTGGGTGCCACTCTTGGGATGGGGATGGGTGTCTCAGCGCCGGCGGGATCACAGTATGTTTGCCAAATCGACCGGCGGAGTCGAAGAATCATACAGGCGGGTATCATGACAATCAAACAACATCATAAACGTTGTGGAAAGTCATGAAGATTTCGCATCCATTAGCAGCAAAACAAGGATGCCAATTGGACAGCATTTTTTCCAGGAATCATCACAGAAGATGCCCTCTGGTAAACTAACATTTTGCCACGGAAAATCACCAATTTTTGATGGGTAAATCCACTATAAATCACAACTTTTATGGGTAAACCCACTATAAATCACCAATTTTTAATGGGTAAATCCACTACAAATCACAAATTTTTAATGGGAAAATCCACTATAAATCACAATTTTTTGATGGGTAAATCCACTATAAATCACCAATTTTTAATTTGTAAATCCACTATAAATTCACTATTTTTTGTGGGTAAATCCGCTATAAATCACCAATTTTTAATGGGTAAATCCACTATAAATCACCAATTTTTAATTTGTAAATCCAGTATAAATTCACTATTTTTTATGGGTAAATCCGCTATAAATCACCAATTTTTAATGGGTAAATCCACTATAAATCACCAATTTTTAATGGGTAAATCCACTATAAATCACCAATTTTTAATGGGTAAATCCACTATAAATCACCAATTTTTAATGGGTAAATCCACTATAAATCACCAATTTTTAATGGGTAAATCCACTATAAATCACCAATTTTTAATGGGTAAATCCACTATAAATCACCAATTTTTATGGGTAAATCCACTATAAATCACCAATTTTTATTGGGTAAATCCACTATAAATCACCAATTGTTAATGGGTAAATCCACTATAAATCACAAATTTTTAATGGGTAAATCCACTATAAATCACTATTTTTTATGGGTAAATCCACTATAAATCACCAATTTTTAATGGGTAAATCCACTACAAATCACCAATTTTTAATTTGTAAATCCACTATAAATTCACTATTTTTTATGGGTAAATCCGCTATAAATCACCAATTTTTAATGGGTAAATCCACTATAAATCACCAATTTTTAATTTGTAAATCCACTATAAATTCACTATTTTTTATGGGTAAATCCGCTATAAATCACCAATTTTTAATGGGTAAATCCACTATAAATCAACAATTTTTAATGAGTAAATCCACTATAAATCACCAATTTTTAATGGGTAAATCCACTATAAATCACCAATTTTTAATGGGTAAATCCACTATAAATCACCAATTTTTAATGGGTAAATCCACTATAAATCACCAATTTTTAATGGGTAAAGCCACTATAAATCACCAATTTTTAATGGGTAAATCCACTATAAATCACCAATTTTTATGGGTAAATCCACTATAAATCACCAATTTTTATTGGGTAAATCCACTATAAATCACCAATTGTTAATGGGTAAATCCACTATAAATCACAAATTTTTAATGGGTAAATCCACTATAAATCACTATTTTTTATGGGTAAATCCACTATAAATCACCAATTTTTAATGGGTAAATCCACTACAAATCACCAATTTTCAATAGCAAACTGTTGGTTCCGGTCGTTCGCCTTACGTTGAGTCACGTGCCATGGCATGGCGCGAGGTGGTCGACTTTGGTAACTTCCTTCATGACGAGCGCTGCTGGGGTGTGGATTGTGGCAACAAGCTTCTTGGCACCGTGAGAGCTTAATGATGATGATGAATGGTTAATAATGGTTATACAATGATGGTTAATGATGGTTATATTGGGAAACCCTCTGGTAAACATACTTAAAAAGCTATTGAAAATGGCCATTTATAGTGGATTTACCCATGAACAATGGTTATTTTCCATAGCACAATGTTAGTTTACCAGAGGGTAAAAGCTGCAAACCAACTTGGGAAGTGCAACCAACTGAAAAACCAACGACAAAATGCTGAGATTGATATATGATACAACTTACCCTAATATCTCCTGCAGATGCACTTGAGACGAGGGAAGGGACGAAAAATGGTTCCAGCGGACTGAGACCCGGAGAGAATAACAGTTGCCATGAAAAGGGGTATACCCTCCGGTAATCAAACATGGTTAGCTGGGAAATCCCCTGGCCCCTAAACAGACATTTGAATGGGAAAATCATCAAGCTACATGAGGGATTTTCCAGCAAACCATGTTTGATTGCCAGAATTTACCCCATTTCTTGAAAAAACCTGGTTACCTTATGTGAAGCCAAGAAAAACTGAGGCAGGCAGTTGCCTTCCATGCTTTCAAGCAAGTGAACCAGTGGTACAACTGCTGGCTGCTGTCCAACCACCATGGCTTCTGAGGGGTCGATGAGTTGGTTGGTCAATGCGGCGACCCGTATACCCCATATGATATAAATAATACCCTCCAGTAAATTAACAATAGGGACTTAATATGGGTTAATGGGACTTAATATATCTTAATAGGGACTTAATATGGTTCTGGTTGGTGGTTTGGAACATGTTTTATTTTCCATAGTATATGGGACAATCCTTCCCATTGACTTTCATATTTTTCAAGATGGTTATTGCACCACCAACCAGGTATGATACGTCCTTTGGAATTGGGGTTGCCATATTTTCCGACAAACCTGTTTTTAGCGAGGGAAGGCTCTAGAGCCATTGATGAAACTGCGTGGCTGAAAATGCCGGGGTGAGACGGTGAATTGTATTTGGAGGTACATCCCAATGAGTATAGGTGGCTTGCTTACAGTGTGCATGTGTTCTAGATCTGTAGATTCGGAATCTGAGAAAAACCCGAGAAAGCGGGAATCTTTGGACATAGATTTCGGTGCCCATGCAATCAAGCACCTTTCTGAACTTCCCATGGATTTCCCTTTCCCATCAGTTGATTAGCTGATTAGCGGATCAATTTCCAGCCAATTTTCATGGTGGTCATTCAACGGTATGCCAAGCCCAATACCCAAGCAATCTTGGAATGTTGACCAAGGTTCCAGACTTATCCCCTCTGGTCACTTAACATAGCTATGATGAAAATGGCCCATAGAAAGTTCGATAATTTTCCCATTAAAGATAGTGATTTTCCATAGCAAAATGTTAGTTTTCCATAGTTATTAAACATGGTGATCATCAATTTTCATGGGATTTTCCATAGCAACATGTTAGTTTACTAGAGGGTATCAGGTTTATTTCTGCCCAAGTTATAGCTCCTCCGTCCAGCACCCATTGCACCCTGCCCTTTCCCTGGCCGCGACGCGCAGCAGTTGGGTGCAGTGGATTGGAGATCCTTATGCCAAGCCTAAATAAACACCATACATCCACCCTAAGCAAACAATAAAACAACATAAAAGACAACGACAATGAACCACCCCTACACATCCCTAAAGAAGCAATAACAACAACATTCAAAAAACCCAAGAAGCAACCCCAAATAAACCTTAAACCGACCATACATAATTAAACCATAAAGCAACCTTAAAGAATTCCTAAACCAACCGGAAACAAACCCTAAATCCTGAACTGTGCTTAAATAACTGATCTCAACCTTTCGCAAATAGTTTGCAAACGAGAGATCCAAGGCCCAAAATGTTGCAAATACCACGCAGGGGCAAGAGTTTTGGCAATGCCTGAGAGACCACATTTTTTATGGCTTATTACTAGGTATACCCATTGATCTAGAATCCCAAGCTGGAAAAAAGGCACTGGGCTGCCTCTGGTGGCGCGCTTGGGCTGGGATTGGGTCGCCGGTGAGCACTTGGTGACATCCACCTTCGTTTCACATGGCAGGCGTGGCACTTGGCGACATCCACCTTCGTTTCACGTGGCAGGCGTGGCACTTGGAGACATCTACCTTCGTTTTGCGTGGCAGGCGTGGCACTTATGGCACTGGGCTGGCGCTGGTGGCGCACTTGGGCTGGGATTGGTCGCCGGTGATGCCGCGGCATTTTGCGTGGCAGGCGTGGCATCTGGCAACATCCACCTGCGTCTCACGTGGCAGGCGTGGCACTTGGCGACATCCACCTTCGTTTCATGTGACAGGCATGGTTTTTGGCAACATTTACATTCGTTTTGTGTGGCAGGCGTGGCACTTATGGCACTGGGCTGGCTCTGGTGGCGCCCTTGGGTTCGGATTGGTCGCCAGGGGTGGCACTAGTCGATATCCACCTTCGTTTCACGTGGTAGGCTATTTTCGTTTTTCGTGGCAGGCGTGGCACAGGCGTGGCACTTGGTGACATCTATCTTCGTTTCACGTGGCAGGCGTGGAATTTGTTGACATCCACCACGATTTGCGCGGCAGGCATGGCACTTGTGGCACTGGGCTGCGCGGCACTTTGCGTGGCAGGTGTGGCACTTGGCGACATCCACCTTCGTTTCACGTGGCAGGCGTGGCACTTGGCGACATCCACCTTCGTTTCATGTGACAGGCGTGGCATTTGGCGACATTTACGTTCGTTTTGTGTGGCAGGCGTGGCGCTTATGGCACTGGGCTGGCTCTGGTGGCGCGCTTGGGCTGGGATTGGTCGCCGGTGACGCCGCGGCACTTTGCGTGGCAGACGTGGCACTTGGTGACATCCACCTTCGTTTCACGTGGCAGGCGTGGCACTTGGGGACATCCACCTTCGTTTCACGTGGCAGGCGTGGCACTTGGAGACATCTACCTTCGTTTTGCGTGGTAGGCGTGGCACTTATGGCACTGGGCTGGCTCTGGTGGCGCACTTGGGCTGGGATCGGTCGCCGGTGACGCCGCGGCACTTTGCGTGGGCACGCGTGGCACTTGGTGACATCCACCTTCGTTTCGCGTGGCAAGGGTGGCACTTGGTCACATCCACCTTCGTTTTGCGTGGCAGTCGTGGCACTTATGGCACTGGGCTGGCTCTGGTGTCACACGCCATCTTTGTCACACACTACTTTCACACAGCATCTTTCACACACCATCTTTCACACACCTTTGTCAACCACCATCTTTCACACACATCTTTGTCACACACCATCTGTCACACACATCTTTGTCAACCACCATCTTTCACACACAACTTTGTCAACCACCATCTTTGTCACACACATCTTTGTCACACACAACTTTGTCACACACCATCTTTGTCACACACCATCTTTCATACACCACTTCGTCACCCACCATCTTTCACACACCGCTTTGTCACACACCACTTTGTCACACACCATCTTTCACACACCATCTTTGACACACCATCTTTGTCACACACAACTTTGTCACACACCATCTTTGTCACACACCATCTTTCACACACCACTTCGTCACCCACCATCTTTGACACACCATCTTTTACACCACTTTGTCACACACCATCTTTCACACACCGCTTTGTCACACACCACTTTGTCACAGACCATCTTTCACACACCATCTTTGACACACCATCTTTGACACACCATCTTTCACACCACTTTGTCACACACCATCTTTCACACACACAACTTTGTCACACGCTCTCTTTCACACATCACTTTCACACACACCATCTTTCATACACAACTTTGTCACACGCACCGTCTTTCTTTGTCACACACCATCTTTCACATACAACTTTGTCACACACACAACTTTGTTTACTTCTGGATCCTCCACCACCTCCTTTGTCTTTCCTTCCTTCCCCGTCTCCGCTACAACATTTGGTGCTCATTTTTGGAAGAAGTTGCCTTGTGGGGTTATCCGGTCCTTAAATTTCATGAAAGCAGGTGCAGTACATGGGCACGGAAAATTATGTACCAGTGACTATCGGTATCACTCCAAAGGTAGGAAAACACTCAGGACATGAAAAGCAAATATGATGCTTTCAACATCCATTTTACCTTCAACTTGACATCCTGAAAATTGGTGAGTTCCGAAATATTTTCATGATCATCAACCCAGAGTGGGTTCTCAGTTTACCTTGTAGTTATTTTTTGGCATGAGAAACGATCCCCAAAACAGGTTCCATTTGCAGCTGAAGAGGAAATATCGTTCCCCAAAGGAAATACACCCCATTCAGTGAGTCTATTGGAGCTGCCTGACTTATGACCGTGCAAACACGTGGCTAGGCCGTACGTAAACGGCATTCCGCTGGCAGCGCGAACTTTGAAAAAAACTAATGGCGACCAATCCACAAAACCCGAACTCATGAGTCACCTGACTTCACTAGAGCAGATGCATTTTGCATCATCGTTTCCGCACTGGCAACACAAAGATTGTTGTGTAATTGAAGCGCAGTTTGCGCTGTGTAGTCCAGCGGAGAACTTGTCGCAGCACCGGGTTGTTTTTTATTGGATTCAATGGAGGATCCTGCAAATAATATATACATGTAAAAGAAAAAACGACTTAGGCCAATCCTCCATGATCTTAAAGTCTGATGACTCTATGCCGATTGATGATATAATAATGATATAATAATTCATGCTTAGACTCCTCAGACCCTGCCATTTAGTGATTGGTTCCATCCATTTAGTGATTTGCCCAATTTTGGTGTCTCCAAGAATGGGGAATGCGGGGATGCCCTAAAATTCCAATTGAATTGGGAACATGATGATCACAAACCCATGTAGTTTGTTTCTTCCCATCATCGTTGGTCTAATTTCTATAGCTCTCATCTTTTTGGGAGAAACCAACATCTAAAAATGTTCGTTATATTTACCCTCTGGTTATTTACTGTAACATAGCTATGGAAAATGACCCCAATCGAAATAGATGGTTTACCTAACTAAAAAAAACATGGTGGATCTTTCCATGGCAAACGATGTTCGTCATAACCAGAGGGCCGCTACACGAGTTCTCCCGGTCCCCCGGGCTCGGCTCGTGGCAATGCAGCTCAGGCAGCGTGATCCGGAAACGCGCACGCTTGGCGAGATCCTTAAAGATGGAGATGCGCCATGAGTTTGTTTGAAAATAGGGTGTAACATGGTATACCCTCTGGTAATTTGTTACAGTTTGCTATTGAAAATGGCCCAGTCGAAATAGTGGATTTACCCATGAATAATGGTGATTTTCCATAGCTACGTTAGTTTACCAGAGGGTAACATGGTATAACCTTAGTAACCCCCAGATTCCCAGATTTGTTCTGTAGTTTTTTATAGCAACTCGTTTGAAACCCAACGTTTTCGCGCGACTTGACAAAGCCCGTAGGTCGGCAGATGGGTCTTTTCAACATGACCTGGATATGGAGGTTTTCCATAAATGGGGATACCCCCAAGCGAGCATTGGATGGTTTATTTCATGGGAAATCCCAATCAAAAATGGATAACATTGGGGGTAGCCCTATTTCAGGAAACCTCCATATGAGGATATGAGGATATGCAAGAAACTTTACCCTCCGGTAATGTGGCACTGCAGAATCCCCGAGCCGTGAATGGAGGTTAAGGATTTCTGTGAAA